CTGCCCACTCTGGGGGGGCTTGGGCCTGCTTCCTTGCCAGAGCATCACCAGAGGCTGACTTCTAAAACTTCACCACTCTGTTCCGCTGTTTATAAAAACCTGGCAGTATTGAAACCCTCTCCTTTTTCTGCATCAATGGTTTTGGGGATCCGTTTTCTTGTGCAGTCAGTCCCCTGTGCATGTTTTCACTCTTTCTCTCTATCTGCTTTCAGGAGGGGTGCTTTCTTGCACAAACCTGATATACTGCTCTCTCTCCCCCCAACTCTTTCTACTCTCTGTGAAAATGGCTCCCTCCCCTCTGCAGCACTGCAGCTCTTCTCTCTCCCAGTTTACCTCTCCACACCACATACCTACCGTATTCTCTCCCTCAACTTATGCAGATTGTTCTGTTAATCCTCAGATCTATTTCCTAGGTGTTCAAAATGGTTTGATGGTGGTCTAGCTGGGTTTGAGGGACAAAACAAGTCCAGGATCCGCTTACTACTCCACCATCCAAACTCTTCTCCTCTACAATACATGTTAGATGAATATGATACCAGATAGAAACTTGGATCTTCAAAAGGAAATGAGGAGTATTGGAAATGCAATATATAAAAGTACATAATTTTTTTCCTATTTTTAATTGTTTTAAAACTCTTGTATTTACCTTCTGTTTTCAGTTTTCTGTTGGATCTATTGGATAGCACAGATTTAGAAAAGTTGCCACTTTGTTTTGATTTGCTCTTTGACTTTTCACTGAAGGAAATATATAAATTAAAAAGTATATGAAAAGATATTCAACATCATTAATCATTAGTAAAAGCTACTTAAAGTCACAATGAAATAACCTACACACTTATTAAAGTGTCTAAAATTAAAAATATGACAATGTCAAGTGCTGACAAAGATTCAGAACAAATATAACTCTCACACATTGGAAACAATGTAAAATGGTACAGAAACTTTGGAAAATAGTTTGTCAGGTTTTATAATGTTAAATATTTACCATAGGGTCCAACTATCCCACTCGTAATTTATAATTATACAAATGAAATGAAAACTACATTCACACAAATACATGTTTCTGAATGTTTTTATTAGCTTTATTCATAAGTATCAAAACTGGAAACAACTGAGATTTGTTCAATAGGTGGATTGATTAAGAAACTATGGAAAAGCCATTCAATGAAATACCACCCAGCAATAAGAAATAATGAACTACTATTTCACATAACAACATGGATGAATTTAAAGTCCAACTTTTTAAGTGAAAGAAACTAGATCCAAAAGACTATCTATTATATGATTTCATTCATTTGATATTCTGGCAAAGAGACTATTTTTAAATTTTTTTATTCTTTATTTAATTTTCACAGAGAGAGACAGTGAGACAGAGTTAGACTGGAGGAGGAACAGAGAGAGAGGGAGATACAGAATCCGAAGTGGAATCCCGGCTCTGAGCTGTCAGCACAGAACCTGGAGCGGGGCTTGAACTCACAAATCGTGAGGACATGACCTGAGCTGAAGTTGGATGCTTAACCAACTGAGCCACCCAGGTGCCCCACAAAGAGACTATTACAGGGGTAGAAACCAGATCAGTGATTGCCAATTGTGTGGAGAGGGAATTTGACCACAAAGAGATAGAACAAATGAACTGGAGTGAAGGCGAGGGTGATGTAACTGTCCTATTTGGTACTGTGGTGGTAAGTACATGACTCTATGCATTTGTCAAAACCCTAGGACTATGTTGCACAAAGGAAAGACTTTTATTATGAGTAATTTTTTAAAAAGCAACCATATGTGAATGCAGACTGAGACAAACGAATCTGTTACACAGAATGGCATAATCTCACTAAAGAAGGCGGTAAAGAAAGGAGCTTACATAAGTAACTTCAGAAAACAGTGTTTTGAATGGATATCCTAAGGCTAAAAACAAAAAGATTGTACAAAACATTGCAGTCTAATTGATCTGTCTTTCCCTAGAAAAGCATGGGCGAGAAATTTTGAAATTCCTTTGAAGGATACTAAGGTTAAATAAACAAGGAAATATATTTTAGATATGAACAACAGGTTTCACATTCAGAGAAAGAAGTTAGAAATGAGGAGGGAATGTTAGAATTAACCTTGAAGAGCTAGATTGGATCAGAGGTATCGCTACAAATCATGTTTTGTTTTGTCTTTTGTGGGTTTTTTTGTTTTGTTTTTTAGAGAGAGATTGCAAGCAGAGGACAAGAGCAGAGGAGAGAAAGAGAGAGAATCTTAAGCGGGCTGTTTGCTCAGCATGAAGCCCAACATGGGGCTCAATCCCACAATGCTGGTATTATGACCTGGGCCAAAATCAAGAGTTGGATGCTCAACTAACTGAGCCACTCAAGCGCCCCTGAATCATGTTGATTTTTAAGATAGATGATAATGATGAGATAGATAGATAGACAGATGGATGATAGATAGATAGATAGATAGATAGATAGATGTATATGTGTCTATATATTAACCAACTGATAGGACCTAGAAGTAGTGACACCCCGACAACTATGAACACTACTACTGTCCAGATAATGGGTTGTAAACACTATTCACAAAAGGTACCAGGGCTTCTTGGAGCAGTGAATGATTTAAAATCTAGAGCAGAAAAAATATAAAATAAGCCTAGAGGACTTTGTGTTGCCAGGAAGTAATGAAATGCTCAGGGGGTTGAAAAAAAGAAGTTGTGGGCAAGTCAGAATGGCACAGCAACCAACGTAAAGGAACTCCCAATAGTCAAACCTGCAAGAAATTTAGCACTAAAATAAACAATGAAGATTTTGATTATAACTTAAAGAATAAAGTAAATATCCATGATTCCATACTGCTATAAATAAGTGACTAGATATATAAATAAATGATGGAGAAGAGACAATTCTTCCTTATAAGAGAATCCAATTAATAAATGTAGAAGAAGTGAAGAAAATTAAAAATGACTATGAGAACACCAGAGTAATAATTGTTACAGGCAAGATCTACCAATTAATGCTAAAACTGATGGGTGAAAATTTAAAGAAAAATAGAGTATTTGCATAGTTGCAGAGTATCTCCCTTTAAGTATTTATTATTACAAAGGAAAAAATAGTGATCTAAAGTGGAAAAGCCTCAGACCCCACCTTAACCAGATGATTAAGACTAACTTCACCAGTCTTAAGACACATTAACATCATGTACCCCCAGATATGATGCACTGAGAGTCCCATCACATAGACGATATTCTTCCCTAAAGTATAGCCTCAATCTAATCATGAGAAACACACAAACTCAAGCCGAGGGATGTTTTCAGTTCTAGAGGGACATTAATCAGTGCTAGAAAGAAAATTGGAGGAAAGAGTGAAATCCTAAGAAATGTACCTTATAAGAAACTCTTTCTTAGGTTGAAGGACTAAGAAACGAAATATGTTTGAAGTTACAGTGATGACCAACAGAGGCACTGATATCATTGCTAATAGGAGGCAAGAGAACAAGACAGTATTTTAAGTGAGTCAAATTTTCCACCTATGTTAGTAGGAAATCAGATAATGTCTGAATTGATAAAACAAGAAACAATAGTACAGGCATCCCACACTTCCTGAAAGTTTGAGTTAATGCTACTTGCTTTTACAAAAGACTTCCCATATTACTTCCTGTTTTCACCAAAAGAAATTCAAAGGTTTTCGCTTTTATGAAAAAACCTGTTACCCTCCTAATCCACTTCTGTCTTTCTGAGAGCATCTTTTTAATGACCACATAGCTTTTCTTTTTGTAACTGAAAAAAAAAACAAAAACAAAAGTAATGTGGGAAAATTCTCCTTTCGTGCCCGAGTGTCATGAATTTTTATTCACCCAGCTGATGACAAACCAGTGTTGGATGAGGTATTCTGAAAATAACCTTGTTCCATTAAGTGGTGATGACCATTCCAGAAAGATAAGAATTTCCACTCTAGGGGTGCCTGAGTGGTTCAGTCAGTTAAGCATCTGACTTCGGCTCAGGTCATGATCTCACCGGTTCATGAGTCCAAGCCCCTCATTGGGCTCTCTGCTGTCAGCGCAAAGCCCACTTCAGATTCTCTGTCTCCCTCTCTCTCTGCCCTACCATGCTCGTTTTCTCTCTTTCTCTCTCTCAAAAATAAATAAACATTAAAAAAAAAAAAAGAATTTCCAGTCTAGAATTCATGGAGAATGACTTGTATCTGCAGACACAGCACATTGTTTTCACATTTGCTAAAAATGCCATTATCTTTCTCCTGGACTTTTATAGAAAAGAAAGCTTTATGCACGGCCCTACACATACACATATACCATACACTGCAATCCCAGTTCAAATACATTTTATCTTATACTTTTAAATAGTAGCAATTTAACCTTGTGGAGATTATTCCAATATTGAATTGTTTGATGTGTTAACCCAACACCATGGGTAGATAGGGCTCGTGACGGAGACACAAGTGATATGCTCCTGGCTTTTTCTCTGGCAGATTCATGAATCACAATTTACATTTGTTACCAAAAATATGAGTTATCTTCTATATTTCTAAATATGAGTTTACTTCTATATTGCTTTGAAAAGGAATAAATCAGATCTTGTAGTTTGTGAAAGAAGGGATGTTTTGTAAGAGTAGGAATTGCTCAAGAGCCTTCTGCATTCTCTAAAGAGACCCTAGGCTACCCAGTCACCCTTTCAGCTTGGGAACAAAAGTAGTACAGAGCAGTATTTCTCATGTGGTAAAAGGACTTTTTTTTTTTTTTTTTTTTTTTTTCATTTCAAATCGATCTCAGAATACCTTTGCGGAACACAAAATCACATGCTTGGATGTTACGACAATGTTCACTTGCCATAAAAGTTTCTAAACACTCTCAACTTTGTACTTTATGGGGACTGGTAACAAGAGTTCACAGCCTTTGGGTCAGTCGCTTAAACTCACTGAGTGCTGTGAGGACCAAAGACCTTTTTATAGATGAAAGCTTTGTAAACAGAAGAGAACTATATCCATAGTAATTATTCTTAACTTCTCCAGCCTTTGGTTTCAATCTGACGTGAAGAGAGTTGAATGAAGGGATCTTCAGAGCGTTACCAGAAAGAGAACCGGTTCCAAACTCAGGTTCAGCTGCTCACCACTCGCAGAACAACACTTGAGAGATAAGTGATGGTAGGAAAGGACAGGTTGCTTTGTTCAGGAAGCCAGAAACCTGGGAAAATGGTGGACTAACGTCTCCAGGACCATCTTCCCTGTCCAGGTGAATCCGGAGGGTTTTAGAGGAGAAGGCATGGGGAAAATGGGGCAGGGTAGGGAGCTACCCAGGAGGTGCAGGTACCCAGGTGGTTAGTCGCATGTTGACATGACCCTGAACAGACTTGCTGGCATCTGCAGCAGCTGTTTGTAAGCGTAGGCAGGCCTCATCAGCTGGGAAAGTTTGGTCAGCAGTCTGCAAATCTCGAGGAAAGTAGGTTAGTTCAGCTACAGACCAAGGGACTGAGGTCAGCAAGCAAGGAGTGCATGAGCTCGAAGCAAGTTAGCCCTTAAGACCAGTTACAGTGCTATTACAACAGTACTTCAATGATTCTGTATGTTGATGCACTTGCTCAAACAAAGAAAGAGCGTGGACAGTGTGTCCTTACAGTGCAGCGTTCATAGGATTCCAGGAAACTGGGCATAGAGGGTATTGTGCCTGTCCTGGCCTGTCTCACCATCTGTGGCTCCTCTCCCTGAGGCCTGTGGTGACTGACAGAAAGACATCAGAACAAAGGCTGCTATGTCTGGACATGCACAGGTCCCTCTTGGATGAGAAAGTGAGTCCCGAGCAGCAAGTTGGGCACATGACTCACACTTACCATGGGAGCAAGGAGCCCCATAACCCCCCACCCAGACTTCTCAGGAAGGCCTTCCAGGTCACCCCAGAAAGAGCTTCCTGCCTTGTTGCTTGTGAATGTCTTCCCCTGTGAGAAAGCCCTTTTAACCAGTCATGTTCTCAGTTACAGGGAAGAAAGTCTATTCAAACCAGTTAAAAAGAAAGGAGTTTATTAGGAGACTTTCCTGGTCCCTGAAAAAGCATAAGAAATGAGTTCGGGAGACTGCAGGAATGATACCTGGATTGTCACAACAGAGAACTATTTCAGCAAAACACCACAGTGTCCTGTTGCCCGGCCCCTATGCCCTCAAGGACCGATGGCCAGAAGCCCCACTCCTGTTGCCCCGACAGACCAGAGGTCTCTGCCATGTGCACATCAAAACTACCATCTCCCCAAACATGGCTGCCCCTTCAAATTGCTCCCAGATTATCTGCTTCATTTGCATGTGTGCATGCCATATGCCACCACCAACCGGTCTGTGAGCGCCCCAGTGAGAAGAAACTGGTATGGGGAAGAAAATGAACAAAAACAAAAAACTATGGGGCGCCTGGGTGGCTCAGTGGGTTAAGCGTCCAACTTCAGCTCAGGTCATGATCTCACACTCCGTGAGTTTGAGCCCCGCGTCAGGCTCTGTGCTGATGCCTCGGAGCCTGGAGCCTGCTTCGGATTCTGTGTCTCCGGCTCTCTCTGCCCCTCCCCCGCTTATGCTCGGTCTCTCTCTCAAAAATATATAAAACATTAAATAAGAATAATAATTTAGTAATTAGTAATAATAAAAGAACAATTTAATAAATAATAATGTAATAATCATAATTTAATAAGAATAACAAGTCATAATTTAGTTTAGTAGTGGGGTCTTCTGTTCTCAAATCTCTCCCACATTCTTCACTTATGCTTTGAGATTCACCTCAGATACCACCTCCTCTTGAAGGACTCCTTGACCTCCCCCTTTCCTTCCATGTTTTGAAACTATGTTTTGGGGTTCAGGGCAGGGCACCCCACAATATGGTACTTTGGCATATTGATTATTTTGAATTCAAGTTACTTGAGAAACAGCCAGTGCAAGAAGGACACTCTGGCCCTCCTGTCTGTCCCCCGCTCCTTTCTGTCTCAAGAAGTTGAGAGACATCCTTATCGCCAGGGATAGGGAGTTCAAGGCCAAGAGGGTTGTGTAAACAACATCTGCTTAGTGTCTTCATTAATTATTATCCAAGCTAAAGTTTTTGTCTTGTAGTTCTTCACCAGTTTATTGTTCCTTTGTCTACAAGGCATATAAACATCTTGTTTTGGTCACTTCCTGGGCGTTGTATCTTTGAGGCCCCATACATACAGAATTAAATTTGTTTTTTCCCTTGTGAACCTGTTTTGTGTCCGTTTAATTACTAAGGGTAGAAGGAAAGTTTCTCCGACATGTGCTTAGCGTCCATCATCTGTGCCCCCCAAACACCTGTGCTTACCTGTATCGTTGCACTTACCACACTGTTGTGATGAACTGTTTACTTTCTAGGTGCATTCGGACCATGAACTCAAAGGCAGGGACCATGGTTCATTCATCTCTGCATCACAGAGCCTAGCCTGGAATACGGTAGGCACTTCACACATATTTGGTGAAATGAAACTCCGATGTAGTAGATTTGATTTTTAACTATCCTTTGGCTTACAGTGAATGGAGATTTGTCAGGATGGTTTGAGCAGGAGTCCCAAACCAGAGAAAACTCTGTCTCCCCCCGTCCATTTACCCCATGGAACAGCACACTGGTTGAGGGTCAGGGGCATCAGCAAAGATGTGGGGTTGTCTCTCTGTTGAGGGAGCCCCAAACAAAAGACTCTGGCAGTCCTTTTGACTCTGGGGTCAAGTGAACCAGAGAGAGAAGTGCTGGATACTGAATCAGAAAGTATCTTTAAGGCTTCTTTCTCCTCCACTTCCTCCTGAAGAAGGCCTCCCCAGAGGCACCGAAAGTAGACCGCTGGCCAAAACTTTAGAGACCTGGGAATGAAGGAACCAGGGCTAGGAATGATAGTGGTGAAGAGCATGACTGCCTGGGTCCTTGCCTATGCCCCCCTCCAGAGACTGCGTTGCACAGGCCGGGCACCAAGGCTGGTATGGTGAGGGTGGCTTTCCCTCTGAGCCTTTGTAATTGCCTCTGGTCAGGCTTGAAAAAATCGCACATATGTGTTTAACCAGGAGCCCACCTCCTCCATATTAAAAGCCAAAACGCAGAAACAATGAACCAGAGGTTCCGCTCTGCTGTTGTGGCCCCACCACTGGCCAGGATTCCTGAGGGAGGCACGTAGAGCTGACATCCTCCAATGACAAATTCCTAAGAGAAGGGTCCAAAGCTGTGGATCTACTAAAGTGAAGCAGGAATGCACACTCTTGTAGTAAATTAGGAAAGGCCAACAAAACTATGACCTACTAGTTCTCTATACCCTGGAAAAATTGGTGCCGTTCTTTTGTTAAAAGCAATAAACGAAAAATAAAACAAAAGTCAACATGTGAGTTTTGTCTTCCCAACACCAAATTTGTGGTGTCTTTTCTAACACCAACAACCAATTCTCTGACACCAGCTGGGTGACCAACAATTCAATTAATTCAGTGTTGACCTTAGCTACCCAGGGTTAACACCAACCTGACAAGTCAAAGGCTCAGTCCCACAGGACTGTCCTCACTCCAGGCAGCAGTCACAAGCCCTACAGGGCTGCCCAGACTTCTGACAGACCCACCATAAATTGGGGCTCCCACAACCCCTTCCTCAGTTTCCATAATTTTCCAGAAAGACTCACAGAACTCAGAAAGACACTTTACTTAATGATTACCGGTTTATTGTACAGGATACAACTCAGGAACAGCACAGTGCAAGAGAGGCATAGGGCAAGGTCTGGGGGCTGGGGCACACGGGCATACCTTCCATGCCTCCCCAGATGTGCCACCTTCATGGCACTTTGATGTGCTCACCAACTCAGAAGCTCTCAAAACCCCATTGTTTAGGGATTTTTGTGGAGGTCTTGTTATGTAGACATGGTTGATTGAATCATTAGTCATTGGTCTAATCTCTGGCACCTCTCAGCTCGCCAGAGGTTGGGGGCAGGTCTGTAAATTCTAACCATCTAAGCCCATGGTCGGTTTTTCGGGCATAAAGCCCTCATCTTAACATGGTCTAGAAGCCATCTCATTAGCATACAAAACACACTCTTAGCACTCAGGAAATTCTCAGGGTTTCTCAGGAAACTCTCAGGTCAGGAACAGGGCCAAAGACCAAATGTATTTTTTATACCAGTGTGTCAGGTTTGCTGAAGGTGGACAGGTTGGGCCTGTCCAACATGAGAGGCCAGCTCCTCACTTGCAGCTTCCAGAAACTGCTGTCTTCAATTCATGCTCAATACAGGGCAGCTATTGTTGTCAGTAGTATGTATATTCATTCTTTACAATTGGTGTTCATTGAATACTACATTGATTCCTGGGGCTGCTTGTAAGAAATAACCACAACTCAGTGGCTTAAAACAATCCAAATCTGTTCTCTCACAGTTCTGGAGTCCAGAAAGATGAAATCAAGGTGTTGGCAGAGCGTGCCCCCTCTGAAGCCTCTAAGGGAGAATCCTTCCTTATCTCTTCCAGCTTCTGGTGGACTCCATGGCTTTAACTCCTGCCTCTATATTTACATGGCCTTCTTCTCCTCTTTCCATGTCTATCCCCTCAGTGTCTCATATAAGGAGCCCTTGTTATTGGATGGAGGGCTCGCTCAGAGAATCCAGAATGATCTCATATGGAGATCTTGAATTACTTCTGCAAAGATTCGTTTGCCAAATGACATGAATGTCAACCTACTAAGACACATTCTGCTCAACTCATGTACTCTCTGAAGGGAGACACAAAGCTTCCTCTGTTGCTTTTTCATTCCCAAGGCAGGGAGGTTTAAACACAGGTCTGGGTGAAAGCCAGTGAGTAACTAGAGCTTCCCTGCAGAAGAAGTGAATGCAGGTTCTTATTGTTTTCCTCTCTTTATTCTCTTGTTGAGACTTCTGTGGCCAGGAAGGCCCAGAGGAAAAGGGTAAAACCCACAGAAAAGAACCACACTGCTAGCTGCTGGAAACAGGAACTTCTTAGGCTTTAGGGGAGAAGGGCAAGAGAAATTGATTCCTAAGTCCAGCTCAACTAAAAAAAAGAGTGGCAGTCTCTCTCTCTCTCTCTCTCAAAAATAAATAAAAATATTAAAAGAACCAAAAAAAAAAAAAAAAAAAAAAGGAGGCACCTGGGTGTCTCAGTCGGTTAAGTGTCCACCTTTGGCTCAGGTCATGATCTCGTGGTTTACGAGTTTGAGCCCCACATTGGGTTCTGTGCTGACAGCTCAGAGCCTGGATCCTGCTTTGGAGTCTGTGTCTCCCTCTCTTTCCACCCCTTCCCCACTAGTGCTCTCTCTCTCTCTCTCTCAAAAATAAATAAAAATATTTTTTGAATAAATTAATTTAAAAAAAAATTTTAAAGAGTGGCAGATCAGGTAGAAATTCGAGCATTTCTGTGGCATACTACCAACACTCTCTCATAAATCCTTACAGTGATACCACATTTTGTAACAGAAAACTATGACTCCGAGGACTTAACACAACCTGCCACTACTAACTGGTGGAGACAGGATTTTAAAACCACGTCTGCCTGCCTGCCTGCAAAGTCTCTATTCTTTCTGTCATGTCTAGCAGGGAAATCAAATAGCAGACTTCAAAAAATGGCTACACTCTGCAGAAGTAGCCATCTATGGTATCATTAGAGAAAACCTCCTAACCACCAGAGTTCTAAAACTATAGAATAATCATTTCCCTTTTCTCCAGAGATCCACAGAACTAGAAAGACCTTTTTCTGACTCATCCATTTCTGTCTGTGACCCCAGCTTTCTTCTACTCTCCTATGTTTATTAAACACCTGCTAGGTGCTAGGGACATCCTTTAATTTAGCCCACAACTTCTGAAGTAACTATTATCTCTGTTTTATGGACTCTGTTGCAATAAAAATGAGCAATTTGCCTACCATTACATAGCTACTAAAAGTCAAGGCCAGTATTGGGATAGAAGTTGGTCAGACCCCAAAGCCAATGATGCAATTGGAAACTTGGGGTTATTATTTACTTTCTCTTCTCAATACTACTTATTTGGTATTTGTATTTATTTATTTATTTTTAAATGTTTTTCATTTTTGAGAGAGAGAGAGAGCATGAGCAGGGGAGGGGCGGCAGCGGAGGGGGTGGGGGGAGACAGAGGATCCGAAGCAGGCTCTACACTGACCCCAGCAAGCCCAATGTGGGGCTCCAACTCACAAACTGTGAGATCATGACCTGAGCCAAAGTCGGACACTCAACCAACTGAGCCACCCAGGCACCCCTGTATTTATTTTTTAGTCATATTGGAAATATGTCTACACTTAGTCATCATTGGCTAATCCCAAGGTGTCTAACGCTTCTTTACCTTCTGTCACTCGGACATAGATAGAGATAGATATCTTCTCTACTCATCTGGGCTGGATATCTTTTTTCTGCTCCCCAGATCTAGTCTTCGCCCATCTCTATTCAGCTCTGTGTCCCCAGGAATCAGGTATTCAGCAAATAGACCCCTTTGAATTCTGGTTACCAGTTGGGTTTGGCCAATGGGGAACTCCAGTAGAAGGTTAGAAGGAGGGAGGAGAGCAGAGGCAACTTAATGGCCATATGACATGTGTTATCACACCAGGTCCCATGTTAGCAAGTCCTCATGCTTGAAATCTTTAATAATTTTTTAGTAAGGAGCTCTGTATCTTCACTTTGTATTGGGTTCTGTATTGGGGCCAGTTTTCCTGTTGAGAAAGGGTGGAAAATGTCCAGGATACAACCCTATTCACTGGCACTCCTAAACTCCTTCCAAGTGAGTCATAAGACACCCAGACAACGAGGGGAAAATTACAACAGTCATATATTGTCAAACAACTTCTCACTGAAACCAGAATCCAATGGGGTAATTGGCCCTTGAAAATATAACAAAGTAAGGGGCACCTGGGTGGCTCAGTTGATTAAACGTCCAACTTCAGCTCAGGTCATGATCTCACAGCTCATGAGTTCGAGCCCCGCATTGGGCTCTGTGCTGACAGCTCAAGAGCCTGGAGCCTGCTTGGGATTCTGTGTCTCCCTCTCTCTGCCCCTCCTCCACTTGAGCTCTGTCTGTCTGTCTGTCTGTCTCTCTCTCTCTCAAAAATAAACATTAAAAATATATGTAACAAAGTAATGGGTATTGAGTTCTATTTCATAAATGAACATAAATAAGATAGAAAAGAAGCATGCTATGGCCTAAGTAACATGCCTAGGGTGCAGTGAGAGCCCCACCCCACAGCCTCCCTGAGGGAAGAAGAGGCATAAACGATGAATGGCTGGATCCCACAAGATGTGAGAAGTAGTATTTTCAGTATCATTGAGTTCTAAGTATTTTCAAAGTTTGCTTATTATTTCTTCTGCCGCCCATGAGTTATTAAATGTGTGTTTTTAAAATTCTTAAATGTTTGGGGGAGGTTGTCATTACCTGTTTGTTACTGAAACTTATTTAATGCCATCGTATGTCTATACTGTCAATTCTCTGCAAGATATTGTTGGAGGAGGTCAGCAAGAGGACGTGACTGCAGGTTGACCCGTGAGCTGGACCCAACAGTCGGAGGCTCCTCACCTCCAATTCTGTCCTTGGAATATACACTCCGCTGGCCTTCCCCACTTCCAGAGGCTGCCCCAAGGACACGGCCTTGAGATAGGTGGTGATGAGAACACCCGCATGGTGTACATGACTGAGCCCAGGTAAAGCCTCCATATAAACTTCTAAGATCTAGCCGGTGGTGCGGGGATTAACTTGCTCCTCAGGACAAGCCTCATATGTAAGTTCCCTTGTTTATTAAACCCACCACCCACCGACCTGGAGTGGCCTGTCTCTTTCTCTGGTTTCCCCTTTCTTTCTGCTTGCAAGTCCAGTTTCAGATTTCACCTGGGAAGCTCCAGACGGGGTTGTGAACTAACTGTTGAGCCAGCCAGGACACTAAAGAAATGGGCCTTGGGAGAGAGGCATTCTACAGAACAATCCTGAGTTGGCCATCAATTTCTGCGTGCGGGGCATGGGGTCCCATGGATTAGAGGCTTGTGGACCACACGTGAGTATGGGGACACCTAGAAAACACTGGTTGTCTTAATGCACTTGTTTGAGAAACTGCATGTAGCTCACTGGGGGCAAAGAGAATCCCTCGGGAGGTGAGCAGAGTGAAGAGCAGGATGTGGTGACTAACAGTGAAGCGGATGTACTGTCCCCTGCCTTCGAAGCCCAAACACAAAGGAAAGCAAAAGCCCAGCAACAACAACCCCAGCCCCCAAGGAGCCCCCAGTTCAGGAAACATTCATGAAGAGAGAAGATACTCCCCCTAAGCTTATTGGGCTAGCTGCCAAGTTCCTGAAAAAGGCCCGGGAAAGTATCCAGGTGTGGCTAGCACAGCTATGAGATGCAGGGGCCATGGGATTTCTCTGACTGGGCAGGAGGCAGAGAAAATGAGCAACATCAACCACATTCACTGCTCTCTGGCAGCACCTGCATGGTATTCAGGGGTTCAAGGTACTCACTCCCTTGTTGATTGGGTTATTCTAGCCTGCAGGAAAGCTCAGCCCAATGAGGAGGCCTCTTTGGGCACCAGGGACCCTGGAAATCTCTACAGGAAGTACAAGAAGTTCTTAGAACTTCCTCTTTCTCTTCCGGTCCCAGGTGCTTCAGGAGTTCCGGGCTTCAGTATAGAAATTGCCCAATGCAAGAACCACACCACACACAACCAGTCACAAAAATTGCGCAGAAGTGAAGAAACCCCAGTCACAAAGATATGAGTATCCCTGTCTCTTTTTTTTAATGTTTATTTATTTTTGAGAGAGAGTTGAGCTGGGGAGGGGCAGAGAGGGAGACACAGAATCTGAAACAGGCTCCAGGCTCTGAGCTACCAGCACAGAGCCCAACGTGGGGCTCGAACTCACAGACCACAAGATCATGACCTGAGCCAAACTCGAACATTTAACCAACTGAGCCACCTAGGTGCCCCAAAGATATGAATCTCTTAAGGGGGTAGACCCCAAGTTCCTGAGGAACATGTGCTTTGCCAGAAAGCACAAAAAGAAGGGCTAAAGGAGATGGAGGCCAGTAATGCCAAGGCCATGGCTGTATGTGCTGAGGCTATCAATGCCCCTGACAAGTCCGTGATCCCAAAGGTTGGCAGCCGCAAGCTCAATCAACTTGCTTACATCACTCACCCCATGCTCTGGAAATGTTCTCATGCCCGTAATGCCAAGGGTCTCAGGCTCTGCCAACCAAAGGCCAAGGCCAAGGTTCAAACCAAGGCCCAGGTTGTGGCTCTGGCCCCAGATGTGGCTGAAGGTGCCGGGTCCCTGATAAAGGCTCTAATATGGAGGCTTCTGTCTGCCAATGTGAGGACAGAAGGACTGGTGTTACCCTGGGCTTCTATCTGCAGGGGCTGGTATCTTTCTGTGCTAGTTGCACAAATAAACCTGAGGCAGGATCTGTTGAAAAAGAAAAAGAAAAGAAAATTCTTAGAGAATTGGAAATGAAACAGACCATCATCTATGCCCCTGTCTTTGAAGGCCCTAATCAGGCCCACATGCATTGCAGGAATGAAAACTAAGATTCTCTAGTCTGCTCTAGCACCCGGTATGGGATGCTGATGTCCGTGCTGAGCCCAGTCGTGGGACAGACGTTTATGATGTTGGCTGATTCATTGCTGGTCTGAAGGGTACTGACAAATGCCAGGAATGAGGATGGGCTGTGGAAAAGACCCGAAACAGAGAGGGAGCTGGAAGAGCCAAAAGGCTGTAAAGGATCCTATGAAAGTAACCTGAATGAAATGTGGTTTGACCTCACTGCTGCGGGGATCCCATCTGAACAGATAGACCAACAGCCCAATGCTGTGTTGGTTGTTGTATGGGAGCCTTAAAGCCTGAACAATTCAGACCTGCCCCATCTGCCTCTACCATCCCTGATGCCCCACCTGCTCCAACAGAGGCCTTAGGAATACAGTCTTATTTACGGTGGGTGCCTCCCAATGCCCTGGGCATAGGATGCAAGCCAAGATTACCTCCAGGTGAGGATCAGTAGAGGTGACCAGAAGCCTCATATAGAGCTCACTATTCACTGGTCCTCCAGAAATAAACAAAGGGTAAACTCTGGTAGACCCTGGAGCTGAATGTACTCTAATACATGGTAACCATCAGAAGTTTCCTGGCCCCTCACACCATTGATAATTAAGTAGGGCAAATAGTTATGGTCAGAAAGGTCTTTTTGACACTGCAATTGGGTGTTCTCCACCCCTGCCCAAGAGCATGAGATTTTTACCTCCCCAATACCAGAGAACATATTGGGCATTCATACCCTCCAAAGTCAATCTGCAAACCTGTATTGCTGAATTCCACCTGTAGTTACAGTAATCAAATAAGTGCTGACAGGAAATGCCAGCTGGGAACTGGTAAGCCTGCCACCCCCATAAGGGGTGGTCACAGTCAAACAATATAAGTTCCCTGGGGGCATAAGGAGATAAGAGAAACTTATCCAGGAACTGCTCAGAGTGGGTATCATACTTCCTGCCCATCATGCTTTCCATAGCCCAGTAAGATCTGTAAGTAAGCTTCATGGCAGATGACAGAGGAATACTGAGAATTGAACAAAATAGTGCCCCCCATCCATGCAGCTGTTCCCAACATCGCCACCATCGTAGATACCATCGTGGATACCTTGGCCAGGGTCCTAGAGTGTATGCTGCACTTAGCAAATGTCTTTTTCAGAAACCCCCTGGCACCTGAGTCACAAGATTAATCTGCCTTCACATGGCAGTGGGGGGGGGGGGGGTGGGGGTGGCAGGGAACAACAATGGACCTTTCAAGGGCTTCTCCAAGTAGCCCAAGATCTGTCACTATTCTCCTTCCCCTCATCAGTACAATGGTCCCATGACATTGACGATATAATATTAACGTGCAAAGATATGCTTGTTGCAGGACACCTTGCAGGTGATACACTTACAAGGGAGAGAATAGACAGTGAACCTACAGAAAATTCAAGGCCCAGGCACTACCATAAAGTCTTGGGAGTTATTTGGTCAGGTAAGACACGTGTTGTCTCGGAAGCTGTGATCGCTAGGTTGTTAGCCCATCCAATCCCTTTAAGTGTGAAAGAAGTACAAGCCTTTGTAGGGATTTGGTGGTTGTAGAGAACGTTCATTCCCCACTTGACACAGTGCCTCTATTCCTTATCCTGCCTAGAAAAGAAAGGGAATCAAAGCAGCCAGCACCTTTGAGAAGACAAAAGTGCTAGTGAAGCAGATGAAAGCTCTGGGCATCTCCAAAGCAGGGCCAGCATTTGAGTTCGATGTGTCTGTGACTCCAGAAGGGCTGGGTCAGGCACTGTGACAGAGACAACAGAAAGACAGAGTTCCCCTGGAATTTTGGTCCTAGCACAAGAAGGGGGTAGAACCCCGATATACCGCCATAGAGCCCTAGCAACTGACCCTTCCGTAGATACAGGAGATTGGGTGCACAGAAAGACTGGCCGCCATTGCACCCAGGCAGGATGACATGTTGCTATGGACTCTGGATTGCCCTTGAAATAAAGTGAGTTGGTTTAATGCAGCAACAGCATGTCCTGTGTGTTCTACACAGTGTCCAAGGCAACTGCCAAAGGAGTCTGGGACCAGTTGCCGGAGTTCCTAACCGATGAGAGACTGATTATATTGGCACTTGCTCCTCTGATCATTCATGCCCGCATTATGATCATCCCATGAGAGATAAATATTTTTGGTGCTGGCTGTGCCAGTGGGAGGGGCACTTAAAATTCCTCTACTAAAAATAGTCCCTTCCAGTTTTTAGCCCAAATTCCTCAGCACCATTGCCCTTCTTATACTCTTCTGAGTGGTCCCCCTTTCCACTCTCCTCCACAGTGTTTCCTGTGGTCTTAACTTGTTGATATCAAATGTCATCCAAGCTATACCAATAACTGTTGTTCTAGGCAGTATGGAAGACCTTCAGTCTTTTTTCTAACTAATTTTTAATGAATTTTATAACTAATTCTAACTAATTTTTAATTAACTTTTTCTATCAATAAGGTAGTAGCTACCTGATTGCATAAGTAGCTCATCATTGTTTGGGATAATTTTGAAATCATAGATAAGGCACAAAGAAAAGAAAGAACACTCATGTTTCCATAGAAGTTTCTTTATATAGGAAAGCCACTCATAATGTTTTATGTATACTTTAATACCTTGTTTCTATGCATATATACCTAATTATTTTACGTAAGTGGATAATATGAATAATACTCTGAATTTATGTTAATATAATTTATCTGGTTCTCACAGATTCAGAGATATTCCACTCTCATAGCCACAGTGCACTATTTATTTATTTATTTATTTATTTAAATGTTTATTTATTTATTTTGAGAGACAAAGAGAGCATGAACTGGGAAGGCGCAGAGAGAGAGAGAGAGAGAGAGAGAGAGAGGAGAGAGAGAGAGAGAGAGAGAGAGAAAGAATCCCAAGCAGGCTCCACACTGCCAGTGCAGAGCCTGATATGGGGCTCAAACTCACAAACCGACCGTGGGATCGTGACCTGAGCTGAAGTCAAGAGTGGGATGTTAACCAACTGAACCACCCAGGTGCCCCAATAGTGCACTGATTATTTAGCACATGTGCTCTCCCATGGTAATTTCTTTCCCCTGAAGCCTTAGCATGACTTCAGTTCATGGCACTGCCTGAATATGCGCTGTTTGTGCCTATTCCAGAATGCATTCTCACCACACACTTATCAGCCTAAGACCTGCTTCTGTGTCCAGATCTCATCTTTCAAATAACCAACAGTAAGAATTTTTGAATATATGAAACCAAATAGACTAAGTTTTTGAACAATCAGAACAGGAAATTGAGCTCATGTTGCTCAGACCCTTATGTGAACCAGACAGGTGCCCACTAGCTAACTCCTTTTGTTCTGATTTCAGGATCTCAGGAGACAAGTATTTAGCATGTCTGTATGAAGGAAATGTACCACTCATGACAGGGTGAGTATTTCAGTTCGTGCAAATTTCATATTTCTTATTGTTAGTGAATGCATTGTAGCTTATAAATTTATCTCTTATGTTTTATTAATTTTTAAATGTTTATTCTTTTCTTCTTTTGTTTTTTATTTTTTTATTATTTTTAATTTTTAATTTTTTAAAATTTACATCCAAATTAGTTAGCATATAGTGCAACAATGATTTCAGGAGTAGATTCCTTAGTGCCCCTTACCCATTAAGGTGCCCTTTACCCATCCCCCCTCCCACAACCTTTCCAGTAAACCTCTGTTTGTTCCCCATATTTATGAGTCTCTTCTGTTTTGTCCCCCTCCCTGTTTTTATATTATTTTTGTTTCCCTTCCCTTATGTTCATCTCTTTTGTCTCTTAAAGTCCTCATATGAGTGAGTTCATATGATTTTTGCCTTTGATTGACAAATTTCACTTAACATAATACCCTCCAGTTCCATCCATGTAGTTGCAAATGGCAAGATTTCATTCTTTTTGATTGCCGAGTAATACTCCATTGTACATATCATATATACCACATCTTCTTTATCCATTCATCCATCAGTGGACATTTGGGCTCTTTCCATACTTTGGCTATTGTTGATAGTGCTGCTATAAACATGGGGGTACATGTGTCCCTTCAAAACAGCACGCCTGTTTCCTGTGGATAAATGCCTAGTAGTGCAATTCCTGGGTTGTGGGGTAGTTCTATTTTTAGTTTTTTGAGGAAACTCCATACTATTTTCCAGAGTGTCTGCACCAGCTTGCATTGCCACCAACAATGCAAAAGAGATCTCTTTCTCCACATCCTTGCCAACATCTGTTGTTGCCTGAGTTGTTAATGTTAGCCATTCTGACAGGGGTGAGGTGGTATCTCATTGTGGTTTTGATTTGTATTTTCCTGATGATGAGTGATGTTGAGCATTTTTTCATGTGTTGGTTGGCTATCTGGATGTCTTCCTTGGAGAATTGTCTATTTATGTTTTTGTTCATTTCTTCACTGGATTATTTGTTTTTTGGGTGTTGAGTTTGATAAGTTCTTTATAGATTTTGGAAACTAACCCTTTATCTGATATGTCATTTGAAAATATCTTCTCCCATTCTGTCAGTTGCCTTTTAGTTTTGCTGATTGTTTCCTTTGCTGTGCAGAAGCTTTTTATTTTGATGAGGTTCCAGTAGATTTTTGCTTTTGTATCTCTTGCCTCCAGAGACGTGTTGAGTAAGAAGTTGCTGTGGCCAAGGTCAAAGAGGTTTTTGCCTGCTTTCTCCTCGAGGATTTTGATGGCTTCCTGTCTTACATTTAGGTCTTTCATCCATTTTGAGTTTATTTTGTGTATGGTGTAAGAGAGTGGTCCAGGTTCATTCTTCTGTATGTTGCTGTCCAGTTTTCCCAGCACCACTTGCTGAAGAGACTGTCTTTATTCCATTGGATATTCTTTCCTGCTTTGTCAAAGATTAGTTGGCCATACGTTTGTGGGTCCATTTCTGGGTTCTCTATTCTGTTCCATTGATCTGAGTGCCTGTTCTTGTGCCAGTACCATACTGTCTTGATGATTACAGCTTTGTAGTATAGTTTAAAGTCTGGGATTGTGATGCCTCCTGCTTTGGTTTTCTTTTTCAAGATTGCTTTGGCTATTTGGGGTCTTTTCTGGTTCCATACAAATCTTAGGATTATTTGTTCTAGCTCTGTGAAGAATTCTGGTGTTATTTTGATAAGGATTACATTGAATATGTAGATTGCTTTGGGTAGTATCAACATTTTAACAATATTTGTTCTTCCTATCCAGGAGCATGGGATCTTTTTCCATTTTTCTTGTGTCTTCTTCAATTTCTTTCATAAGCTTTCTATAGTTTTCAGTGTATAGATTTTTCACCTCTTTGGTTAGTTTTATTCCTAGGTATTTTATGGTTTTTGGTGCAATTGTAAATTGGATCGATTCCTTGATTACTCTTTCTGTCGCTTCATTGTTGGTGTATAGGAATGCAACCAATTTCTGTGTGTTGATTTTATATCCTGCAACTTTGCTGAATTCATGAATCAATTCTAGCAGTTTTTTGATGGAATCTTTTGGGTTTTCCATATAGAGTATCATGTCTTCTGTGCAGAGTGAAAGTTTGACCTCCTCCTTGCTGATTTGGATGCCTTTTATTTCTTTGTGTTGTCTGATTGCAGAGGTTAAGACTTCCAATACTATGTTGAATAACAGTGATGAGAGTGGACATCCCTATCTTGTTCCTGACCTTAGGGGGAAAGCTCTCAGTTTTTCCCCATTGAGGATGATATTAGCATTGGGTCATTCATATATGGCTTTTATGATCTCGAGGTATGATTCTTCTCTCCCTACTTTCTTGAGGGTTTGTATCAAGAAAGGATGCTGTATTTTGTCAAATGTTTTCTCTGCATCTATTGAGAGGATCATGTGGTTCTTGTCCTTTCTTTACTGATGTGATGAATCACATTAATTGTTTTGCAGATATTGAACCAGCCCTGCATCCCAGGTATAAATTCCACTTGGTCATGGTGAATAACTTTTTTAATGTATTGTTGGATCCGGTTGGCTAATATCTTGTTGAGGATTTTTGCATCCATATTCATCAGGGAAATTGGTCTATAGTTCTACTTTTTAGTGGGGTCTCTGTCTGGTTTCAGAATCAAGGTAATGTTGGCTTCATAGAAAGAGTTTGGAAGTTTTCCTTCCATTTCTAATTTTTGAAACACCTTCAAGAGAATAGTGTTAGTTAACTTCCTTAAAGTAGAATTCCTTCGGCAGAATTTCCCTGGAAAGCTATCTGGCCCTGGACTCTATTTTTTGGGAGATTTTTGATAACTAATTCAATTTCCTTACTAGTTATGGGTCTGTTCAAATTTTCTATTTCTTCCTGTTTCAGTTTTGGTAGTGTATATGTTTCTAGGAATTTGTCCATTTCTTCCAGATTGCCCATTTTATTAGCATATAATCGTTCATAATATTCTCTTATTATTGTTTTTATTTCTGCTGTGTTGGTTGTGATCTCTCCTCTTTCATTCTTGATTTTATTTATTTGGGTCCTTTCCTTTTTCTTTTTGATCAGACTGGCTAGTGCTTTATCAATTTTGTTAATTCTTTCAAAGAACTGGCTTCTGGTTTCATTGATCTGTTCTACTGTTTTTTTTGGTTTCAATAGCATTAATTTCTGCTCTAATCTTTATTATTTCCTGTCTTCTGCTGATTTGCGGTTTTATTTGCTGTTCTTTTTCCAGTTCCTTAAGGTGTAAGGTTACGTTGTGTACCTGAGATCTTTCTTCCTTCTTTAGGAAGGCCTGGATTGCTATATACTTTCCTCTTATGACCAACTTTGCTGTGTCCCAGAGGTTTTGGGTTGTGGTGTTATCATTTTCATTGACTTCCATATACTTCTTAATTTCCTCTTTAACTTCTTGGTTGGCCCATTCATTCTTTAGTAGGATGTTCTTCAGTCTCCAAGTATTTGTTACCTTTCGAAATTTTTTCTTGCGGTTGATTTCGAGTTTCATAGCGTTGTGATCTGAAAATATGCATGGTATGATCTCGGTGTTTTTGTACAGGCTGATTTGTGTCCCAGTATATGGTCTATTCTGGAGAACCTTCCATGTGCACTGGAGAAGAAAGTGTATTCTGCTGCTTTAGGATGAAATGTTCTGAATATATCTGTTAAGTCCATCTGATCCAGTGTGTCATTCAAAGCCATTGTTTCCTTGTTGATTTTTGGATTAGATGATCTGTCCATTGCTGTGAGTGGGGTGTTGAAGTCTCCTACTATTATGATATTACTATTGATGAGTTTCTTTATGTTTGTGATTAATTGATTTATATATTTGGGTGTTTAAATATATATATATTTGGGCACATAAATATTTACAATTGTTAGGTCTTCTTGGTGGATAGACCCTTGGATTATGATATAATGCCCTTCTGCATCTCTTGGTACAGTCTTTATTTTCAAGTCTAGATTGTCTGATATAAGTATGGCTACTCCAGCTTTCTTTTGTTGACCATTAGCATGATAGATGGTTCTCCATCCCCTTATTTTCAATCTGAAGGTGTCTTTAGGACTAAAGTGGGTCTCTTGTAAACAGCATATAGATGGATCTTGTTTCCTTATCCATTCTGTTACCCTATGTCTTTTGATTGGAGCATTGAGTCCATTGACGTTTAGAGTGAGTAGTGAAAGATATGAATTTATTGCCATTATGATGCTTGTAGAGTTGGAGTTTCTGGTGTTCTCTGGTCCTTTCTAATCTGTGTTGCTTTTGGTATTTATTTATTTACTTATTTATTTTCATTTTTTTCTCCCCTCATTGAGTCCCCCTTAAAATTTCTTGCAGGGCTGGTTTAGTGGTCACAAACTCCTTTAATTTTTGTTTGTCGGAGAAACTTTTTACGTCTCCTTCTATTTTGAATGAAAGCCTTGCTGGATAAAGAATTCTTGGCTGCATATTTTTCTGATTCAGCACATTGAATATATCCTGCGACTCCTTTCTGGCCTGCCAAGTTTCTGTGGATAGGTCTACTGTAAACCTGATCTGTCTTCCCTTGTAGGTTAGGGACTTCTTTTCCCTTGCTGCTTGTGTGAACCAGACAGATGCTAACTCCTTTTGTTCTGATTTCAGGATCCCAGGAGACAAGTATTTAGCATGTCTGTATGAAGGAAATGTACCACTCATGACAGGGTGAGTATTTCAATTCATGCAAATTTCATATTTCTTATTGTTAGTGAATACATTGTAGCTTATAAATTTATCTCTTATTTTTTTATTAATTTTTTTAAAGCTTATTTTTAAGAGACAGAGAGAGACAGCATGAGCAGGGAAGGGGCAGAGAGAGGGAGACACAGAATCTGAAGCAGGCTCCAGGTTCTGAGATGTCAGCACAGAGCCTGACATGGGGCTTGAACTCATGAACTGAGATCATGACCTGAGCCAAAGCCAGACACTCAAACAACTGAACCACCCAGATGCCCCTATCTCTTATTTTTAAATTGAATTAGGCCTCAAGAGATTGGTCATCTCTTATTAGCTGACAATCAAGTTTCTGCACCATTAAAGCTGAAAACCATGGTGACATCATCTAGGCAATTCCATCAGCGGTAGTAGCATATCTGGGCTCCCAGCCATCGGGTTCCTTAAAATATGTTGTGTCACTCTGCCTACAGCAATTCCTGGTATGTTCCACTCCCAAAGCAATAAAGTTTTGACTCATCCTCCTATTATCATGTAATACCTTGTTCTTTACATATCATTCAAATAGGCCAATGAGTTACAAATAACTTTTTAGTAGTAAAATTTTTTAAAATTAAGCAACGCATGAAATTCCAGAGTCTTTGAGTTGAACTGCATAGACAGAGGGACTTTAAAATCTTTTCCCTGCTTTCCTCCTCTCTTTCTTCTGCTCACATCTATCTACTCACTTTAAGAACCAGCTCCAGACTTGATGTACCTCACCCCAGGCTGTACGCTTCCTTCTTTCAACTCCCAAAATAACAGTGTTGATCAATCACTGCACTTACCACACTATAATTACATGCTTATGCCTTGACTGCCCTGAGAGATCATTGAAAGCAGATTTTGTCTTATTCTTCTTTGTAATCCCTAACACCTAGCAAAGTTTCTGATGCATGTTCCTTTGTGAATAAAGGAATGAATGTCTAAAACACTAGCCCACATGTAGTTCAAAGACAGCTGTGTGACTTGATATTTATTTCTGTATTGAATATGTAGGCTTTCAAATTTGGTTGCACACATCTGCCCATCTGACAACGTAATTACAATTACAAATATAATGATAGGTAAAATTTACTGGGCATGTACCATGGTAAGTAGCTTTATACCCATTAGCTCATTTAATCCCCACAACAATGCTGCAAAGTAAATGTTGTCATTTAAAATGTTCAAGTAAAGAAACTGATTCCAGACCCACACTTATGCCATATTGTTCATATTGCCTAGTTCACCACAGGCAAGCATACCTACGGCTCCTCAGATTAAATCTAGCCACACAGCCCAGGTACCCTGTGGAAGTCTACAGCTATCTCCATGTTTTCTTCAAGCTCTTTCACTTCTCAATAACCGTACCCTTCTGCATCCATGAGGATTGTCTCTATTTACCCTTACAAAATCATCTGACTTAAGAAATTAGGCTGTGAAGAGGAGGAGAGACATATGGCCATTGTTAGAAGGGAAAATAAGATGAAGGATTTTGTTGGCTTTGTTTTTAATGACGGGTTTCAGGAGGTTTGTTTGTTTTGCAAAAGATTCGAGAGGCCACAGACAGGGAAGAGGGAATAAATAGGTGACAGCATGAGGCTGAGTTAGGAGTGAAAGGGAAAGAAGACGGGAGGATCAGACCCTGTTGGAGAGATTGATCTTAGCTAAATGGGAGGAAACACTCCTTTACTGTAACAGGCTAGAACAGAGATGGGTGGAAATCCAGATGCTTATGTAAAGTTGTTAGAGGGAAGAGAGTAAAGGGAGTTTGAAGTAATCTTTGTGGAAGGGAGAAAGCAAACTGACCAAAGAAACAATAGCATGGCTAGGCAGAGATGAGGGTTCATTCTGGGTTGAGATTTATGAATGCCTAATGTCACCAAGCTTTTCGCCTGATTGGTTTCCTCCATCAGAGGCTCAGATGGTGGAACGGAAGCACAAACAGACAGACAGACAGCTGGATTCATGCAGGTAGTCAGCTGGGTTAAACTGGTAATTGTGATGCCATTAAGAATGCCTAAGTAGGTCCACTGTGATGCAAGGTTGTCCTCTTAAAGCTTCTGTAACCCAGTGATGCCAGTTCAGTCCTTTTCAAAGCAAACCATTATAATGCAAAGAGGTTAGTTTAGAAAAGTGTGAAATAAAATAGAACCATAGCAAACCTTCACCAGATTAAACAGCACAGAACTAAAGACTTAGTTATTCTGACATGTATAGTTTAACTCTAATGGAGACCCATGTGCTTTCATTCATCTATTTATGTAAAATCTAAAACTATTTTACTCACCACATCTCCAATGCCTAGCACAGTACCTGACGCTTGTTAAATGTACAGTAAGTGTTTAGTGAATGAGAGTGTCAATACGACTTGCTACTGAGACGGTAAAAAGTATTGGAAACAATGATCTTGGATAAGATGACTCAACATCATAAGGAAAATTAGTCCTTCCTAAACTAACATAAAATGAACACAACTTCAATAAAATATCAACAAAAGTTTTATGGAGTTAGATAAGTTTTTACTAAAGTTCATATGAAAAAAATAAACATGCAAGAATAGATAAGGAAACACAAAAAGGAACAAAAACGAAGGGGGCTAGCTCAACCAAATATTAAAATACAGTGTAAAGGCTCTATAATTTCAAGTGTGGGGATTGGAACACAAATAGATAGATGGACCAATGGAATAGAATAAACTCAAGTACACATAGAAATTAGTGTATGATAAAGATGGACCATTTATTACCACTGGGTAATAAATGATGCTGGGACAACTGTTTGACCATTTGGGAAAAAAATAAAATTATATCCCTGCCTAATGTGGTACACAAGAATAAGCTTCAAATGTATTAGGAAAATAAAAGTAAAAAAGGAAGCCATACAAGTATTAGAATAAAACACAAATGATTTTTTTAACATTAGTATAAGGGAGGGCTCCACACTGAGCATGGAGCCTGCTTGGGATTTTCTCTCTCCCTCTCCCTCTCCCTCTGCCCCCATCCCCCCACTCATGCATTCCCTCTCTCCCCCTCTCTCTAAAAGAAAAAAGAGCAAAGAAAGAAAATAACATTACTGTAGGGAAAGCTTTGAAATTATAAAAATTATTAAATGATCAAAATCCAGAGGCAATAAATTAAATATTTATAAATGTGACTATGCAAAGATACAAAATTTTGTAGGGCAAAAAAAAAAATACTATCAGATTGTCACCTATTCTGTTGACAAGACTTTGTGGAAGGAGGCATTCTCTTATTGGGTGGTGGAAATACAAACTGGTACACCCTCTTAGAGGAGGCCCTGGCACACAAGTTAGGATAACAAAACTACATGTGGACTTACTTTTTGACCCAGCAATCCCACCGCTAGGAATTTACACTGAAGATACACCTCCAACAGTCTTCCATTGAAGATACACCTCCAATACATATGCACATTGCAGTGTTGTTTGTAATTGCAAAAACACTGGAAACAACCTAAATGCTCACACGTTGGAAACTGTGGAATAAATTGTGGTCATCCAGAAAATGCTGTAAGAAATGATGGTCTCTATGAACAGTTATGGATGCATTTTTAAGCGAAAATAGCAATGTGTAAAAGAGTATTTAGTATGATAGCTTTGCGTTAAAAAGAAGGAAAAATAAAATATACATATATCAGCTTATTTGTGAAAAAGAAACAGGAAGGATAAACCAAAACCTTAGAAGATTGGTTCTCTATAGGAAGTATATGGGAATGGGCTATAAAAAATGTGGGAATTGGAGCAGGTAGAAGGGAGGGGAGGGGAGATGTGACACTTCTGTGGGTGTAACTTTCTGTTTTCTGAATTTGAGAACCATGTTAGTGTTTCATCTACTCAGAGAATACATGTAATTTAAATCAACCAGGATTGAGAAGGGAGACCATACTAAAACCAGGATAACAACAACAATAAAACTATTTAAATGTATCATGGGTGAATGGCATAACTACACTGAAGGGGTTGGACAAAAAAAAAAAAAATGAACAAATGAGGGAGGGGTAAAGGGTAGGGGGAGGTAGAAGAAGAGGGAGGAAGGAAAAATATTCATCAGTATCTTGCATCGTGTAACAAAAAATAATTCAAAAAGGATTGTAGACCTAAATGTAGAACATTTATAGATGAAAACATTGGACTTCATACAAATTAAGACCTTCTGCTCTTTCAAGACACTGTTAACAAAAATGAAAAGGGAAACCATAGACTGCAAGATAATTTTTGCAAATCAGATATCTAGTAAAAAGTCTTATATCTGTAATATATAAAGAACTCTCAAAACTCAATAAGAAGAATTAATACTGAGTGACATCAGCAGGATGGCAGAAAGCTCTGGACCTTCCTTCCTCCCACAGACTCATCAATTCAACAATAATACACAGACCAATTCCCTTTGTGAGAAATCCAGGAACCAGATGAGAGGCTCCTGCACCATGAGCGAGTGCAAAACCATCCACATCAAAGCCAGTAGGAAACTCAAGGCACCATGATCCTTCCTCTCTGGCACAGCACTGCCCAGCTGGGAGGAAACCCTCATCCCAACTTGTTCCTGGGGAGGGAAGAAAAGGACTGGATGATACATCCAACATTCTCACTGTTCTGAAGACTGCCCAAGAGACTGGTTTCTGTCTTACTTGAACTTGAGCACTAACAGGTGAGGGCCCCAGACTGGGAGCCACTGAGAAAAGAGGCAGCCCCTTATTGGGACTGGCATGCAGGCAGCAGTTTGGACTAGCATGTACACATTTCCCATAGACCCTCCTCCTGGCTCAGTGTACTGTGAGCGAGTAGAAATCCTCATATCCTAGCTTTGCTCTCTAAGGAGGGAGAGGTGGACCTTGCACCCAACATTCTAACTTTTGCAGGAGTGTCCAAGGGACTGGTTTCTGTCTTACCTGATTGCTTCTGAGAATGTTGATGAGGGGCACCTGGTTTGCTCAGTCAGTTAAGTGCCAGACTGTTGATTTTGGCTCAGGTCATGATCTCATGATTCGTGAGATTGAGCCCCGGGTCAGGTTCTACACTGACAGCATGGAGCCTGCTTTGGATTCTCTCTCTTCCCCTCTCTGCCCCTCCCTTGTTCACGCACACATGCGGGTGCGGACTCTCTCTCTCGAAATAAATAAATAAATAAACATTAAAAAAAAAAAAAGAATGTTGATGAGACCAAGCACACTCTAGATGACTGGTGGCTGCTGAGGATAAAGGCAAAGGTTTGGAATGGCATTTACTTACTCACAAGAGCTCCTACCCATGATTCAGCACAGCCCAATCAGGAAGATCCCCAGCTCCAAGATTATCCCTGATGAGGAAAAGAGAAGACAGAAATATATATACAACTTTCAGACTTTTTAGGTGACTGCCTGAGAGCTGGTTCCAGTCTTACCTATCTCTGAGCACGGATGGGACCTGGCATACTCTAGACATCTGGGGATCACTGAGGACAAGGTCATGGGTGTGCTGCTGCTCCAGAAGATCTATGGTATAGCAGACAGATATCAGCGGGAGGAAGGGATTATAAAATCCTGCAATAAGAAACCAGCAAGTCCCTCTGGGAATTTAAACATATTAAAATACAAGGGAAGGGAAGGCATATAAACAAAGATTTGAGAGCGCCACCCCCCATATTTCTCTGGCAGGGCTGACAGTGACAGTCTCCTCCTGTATGAAGCCAGTCCAGGAAGATCGGGAGAGGTGGATGATACCAAAACAGAGTCAAGGAAAACAAAGAAAAACAGGGAAATGTGCCCCCCCCAAAAGGAACAAGCTAAATCTCCAGAAACTGACTGTGATAAAATGGAGATATATGAATTATGTCACAAAGAATTCAAAATAACTATCATAAAAATGCTCAGTGAGTTCAGGCTAACAATGCATGGAAAAAATGAAAATTTCAACAAAGAGACAGAAAATATCGAAAAGAACAAAACAGAAAACTTGAAGCCAAAGAATACAACAGTTGATCTGAAAAATTGACTGGAGTGGTTCAACAGCAGATGAGCAAGCAGAAGAAAGAAGGGGTGAATTCAGAAAGGTCATTTGAAATTATCCAGTCAGAGGAAAAAGAAGAATGAAAAGTTCATGGGGCTTATGGTAGACCATCAAATGGACCAGTACTATGGGAATCCCAGAAAAAAAGAAAGAGAATTGGCCAGAAAGCTATGTTAAAAAAGAATGCTCAAAAACTTTCAAATTTAGGAAGGATATGGACCTCTGCTCCAAGAAGCTCAACAGTCTCCAAAAAAAACAAAAACAAAAAAAAAGATGAATCTGAAGAAGTCCACACTGACACACATTATAATCAAACTGTCAAAAGCTAAAGACAAAGAGAAAATTTCTAAAGCAGACTTACGAGATATGCTGAAGGAAGTTCTTCAACTTGAAACAAAAGGATTCTAAACAGCAACACAAAAGCATATGAGGGAGGGGTATGAACCATAAAACTTGCTGGTAAATGTAAACATGGATAGCAATGCAGAACCTGTAATACTGTAATGGTGGTGTATACATCACTTTTAGTTCAAGTGTACAAGTTAAAATACAAAAGTACAAAAAAAAACTATGACTATAAAAATACATGAAGTAGATACACAGTAAAAAAAAAGGTTGTAATATTTGACGTCAATAACATAAAGTGTTTTAGGGGGAGACATAAAGGTATAGTTTTGTGATTGAAGTTTTTGTCAACTTAAAGCAGAATGTTAAAAGTTTAAGAAGTTTTATGTAAGCTCCATGGTAAGTACAAAGAAAATACCTATAGAAAATACAGCAAAGAAAGTGAGGAAATGAGAAAGCAATCAAAGCATGTTATTAAAAGAATAATAATAATAAATTTAAAAATTAATGAACCACAAGGGAAGACAGCAAAAGAGAGAAGAAGGGACAAAAGACTTACAAGATAATATCACACAATTCATAAAATGGCAATAAGAAGTCCTTCTCTATCAATAATTACTTAAATGTAAATACATTAAACTCCCCAGTCAAAATACATAGAGTTGTTTAAAGGGAAACAAACAAAAAGATACAACTATATGCTGTCTCCAAGAAACTCACTTTAAGGACATACAGAGGCTGAAAGGAAAAGATGGAAAAGATACTCAACAAAATAAAAGCAAACTAAATTTGACAATATATTAAAAGGATCACATACATAACCAAATGGGAATTTTCCCTAGGATGCAAGTTCAGTTGAACATAACCAAATCAATGTGATATACCACATTAACAGGGTAAAGGGAAAAAATAGCTGATCATCTCAATAGATGCAGAAAAGACACTTGACAAAATTCAACATACTTGCATGATTAATAACTCTCAACAAAGTAGAAGTAGAAGGAAATTGCATCAACATAACAGAGGCTATATATGAAAAGCTCACAGCTAACATCATACTCAACAATGAAAAACTGAAACTCTTCCTCTAAGATCAGGAATACGACAAGGATGGCCGCTCTTGCCACTTTCATTCAACATAGTACTGGAAGTCCTAGGCAGAGCAGTTAGGCAAGAAGAAATAAAAGGCAAAAAGAAATAAATGGAAAAGAAGAAGTAAACTTATCTGTTTGCGGATGGTATTATCTTATAGGTAGGAAATCCTAAAGACCACTGAAAAACCGTTGGTACTAAAAAATTCAATAAAGTTGCAGGATACAAAATTAACATACAAAAATCAGTTGCATTTCTATACAATGAAATCTGAACAGGATATTTAAAAAACAATCCCCTGGGGTGACTGGGTGGCTCAGTCAGTTAAACTTCAGACTCTTGATATCAGCTCAGATCACGATCTCTCAGTCTGTGAGTTTGAGCCCTGTTTTGGGCTCTGTGCCAACAGCTCAAAGCCCGGAGCTTGATTCAGATTCTGTGTCTCCCTCTCTCTCTCTGCCCCTCCTCCACTCACATTCAGTTTCTTTCTCAAAAATAAAAAAAATTAGAAGAATTTTTTAAATAAAAAATATTTTTTAAATCCCATTTACAATAGCATCAATAACAATAAAATACTTAGAAATAAACTTAACCAGAAGGTGAAAGACTTATACATCGAAAACTATAAAACATTAATGAAAGAAATTAAGGAAGGCATAAATAAATAGAAAGAAATCCCATGTCACTGGCACTTTTTGCAAAAATAGTAAAAACAATACTGAAATTCATATGGATCCAAAAGGATCCTGAATAGCCAAAACAATGTTGAAAGAGAAACACAAAGTTAGAAGCATCATGCTTTCTGATTTCAAAATATGTCACATAGTTACAGTAATTAAAACTGTATGGTACTGGCATAAAGGCAGACATATAGACTAATGGAAGATTATAGAGAGCCCAGAAATAAACCTATGCATACACAGTCAATTGATTTTTGATAAGGATACCAAGAATACACATTGGGAAAATGTATTCAAGAATATATCTGGAAATATCATACACAAAAATCAATGTAAAATGAATTAAAGACTTAAACACAACATCTAAAACCAAAAACTCCCAGGAGAAAACATAAGGGGAAAGTTTCATGAAATTGGTATTAGCAACAATTTCTTCACTGTGACACCAAAAGCACAAGCAACAAATATACCTGTGGAACTACATCAAACTAAAAGCTGCATAGCAAAGGAAACAAATCAATAGTGAGAAGGCATCCTATGGAATAGAGGAAAATACTTATAAACCACATATCTGATAAGGGGTTAATATCCAAAATATATAAGAACTCCTGAAACTCAATAGCAAAACAACAACAACAAACCTCATAACTCTATTTAAAAATGGGCAAAAAACTTGAATAGGCATACCTCCAAGGAAGACATACAAATAGCCAAGAGCTATATGAAAAGATGTTCAGATCATCAAAGAAATGAAAACCAAAACTACAATATCAGCTCACACCTCTTGGGATGGATATTATTAAAAATAGCAAGTGTTGGTGAGATTTCAGGGAAATTGAAACCCTCTGCACTGGTGTTAGGAATGTAAAATGGTGCAGCAGTTATGGAAAACAGCATGGATGTTCCTCAAAAAAAATTAAAAATCAAACTACCAAATGATCCAGCAATCCTACTTCTGGGTATTTATCCAAAAAAATTGAAATCAGAATCTTAAAGAAATATTCACACTCCCATGTTCACTGCAGCATTATTCATAATAGCCAAGAGGTGGAAACAATCTAAATGTATCTGTAGTTGAATGGATTCAAAATGTGTGAATGTACATACAGTGGAATATTATTCGGCCTTTGAAAAGGAAGAAATCCTGCCATATGCAACAACTTGGATGAACACTGAGAACATTATGTTAAATGAAATAAGCCAGTCACAGAAAAACAAATACTGCCTAATTCCTCTCATGTGAGGTGTGTAAAATAGGCTCGTAGAAACAGAGAGTAGAATCATGGTTGTCAGGAGCTGGGAAGAGGGGGAAATGGAGAGGTGCTGTTAAATGGGTATCAAGTTTCAATTAAGCAGGATGAAAAGGTTGTAGAGATCCACTGTACCACGTTGTGCTCAAAGTTAATACCATACCACATACTTAAAAATTTGTTGAGAGGATGATCTTAATGTTATGCGATCTTATCACAATTAAAAAACAACTTAGTAACAAGGAAACAAAAATAATTTAAAAATGAACAAAAGATTTGATATTTCACCGAAGATTAAAAAATGCTCAACATCGGGGCGCCTGGGTGACTCAGTAGGTTAAGTGTCCGACTCTTGATTTCAGTTCAGGTCATGATCTCACAGTTTGTGGGTTCAAGTTCCACATCGAGCTCCATGCTGACAGTGTAGAGCCTGCTTGGGATTATCTCCCCCACTCTCTCTTTCCCTCCCCTGCTCGTGCTCTCTTAAAATAAATAAATAAATTGAATAAATAGAAATAAACTTATTTCTATAAATAAATAGAAATAAATAAATAGAATAATAAATAGAAAATAATATAGAAAATATTAGAAATAGTATTTATATTATTATATTATATTATTTATTATTATATAATATATATTATATTATTATATTATATTATTTATTATATTATTATATTATATATATTATTATAAAATATTAGAAAATCAAAATAAATAGAAAAAAAAGATGCTCAATATCTTTCTTCATTAGGAAAATGTAAATTGAAACCACAGTGAGATACTACTACGCATCTATTAGAAAGGCTAAAATTAAAGACTGACCATACAAGTGTTGACTAGTATATGAAGGAACTAGAATACTCATATCCTGCTGGTGGAAATGTAAAATGGTACAACCACTTTGAAAATCAGTTTGCAAATTCCTAAAAAGTTAAACGTATACCTATCACATAACTTGTCTATTCTACCCGTAATTATTTTCCCAAGATAAATGGAAGCCGATGTCTACACAAAGACTTGTATGCATATGTTCACAGAATTTTTATTTAGAATAGCCCCAAACTGGAAATAACACAAGTGTCCATAAATAGTAAATGAGTAAGCAAATCATGGTCTATCCATACATTGGAATATTACATGGCAATATAAAAAAGAACATGGGATAGATCTCAAAGAACGCTAAGTGATAGTAGTCATATAAAAAGAATACATCCTGCATGATTCCATTTACGTAGAATTCTAGAAAATGAACATCACAGTGGCATAAAACTGATTAGTTGTTCCAGATGGGACAGTTGGAAGGGGTGGGAGGGAGGGATTACTAAGGAAAGGTGGGAAATTTCTATTAATGAAATGTAGTCTATGCCGAGTAGACTCTGTCCGGATCCCAATCCAAAGAACAAGAAAGAAAGAAAAGAAAGAAAGGAAGGAAGGAAGGAAGGAAGGAAGGAAGGAAGGAAGGAAGAAAGAAAGAAAGAAAGAAAGAAAGAAAGAAAGAAAGAAAGAAAGAAATCTAGGAGGTAATTGGGGAAATCCGGAAACTGAGTAGTTGATGATATTAAGGAATTGCTGTTAATTTTTTTATATATTATAATGGCATTATTATGTTTTTAGAAAATGGTCTGTAGCTTAAGTGGGATGAGGATATGAGGTCTGGATGAATATTGGCCAAATTATTGAAGTTGGTGATGGTACCTGTGTTTTTTATTCCGATTTTGTTTAAGTGTAAAATTTTCCATAATACTTTTTAAAATTATATCTAAGCTGCATTTTGGACGCATACATTGTATTTTCCATGGTGATATTATAGAGGAAGAAAAACTTCTTCTTGACTTTCTCAAGGTCCCTGGCTGGGACTGGAAATTAAACTGACCAAGACAGATTAACAGGAGAAAAGCACACAAATTTTGTTGAATTTCTCCACGTACATGGAAGCCTTCACAAGAGAATAAAACCTGGAGAAGTGACCAGAGTAGGAAGCTTTCACATCTTTAGGACAAAGAAACAATAAATGGGTGAAAAGTTGATAAGACAAAGGGGTTTGGGCTGGGGACAGTCCAACGAGAACTAGGTGGTCCCTGTCCTCCTTAAATAAGGATTCTTTTAACAAGTTTTGTTTGCAAATTCTTCTGGTGCCCTCTCTGTCACCTCTTCTGGTGCCAATAAAGTCTATTTCCAGTAAAAGGAGAATTTATTTCCTGCCTTCGTGCAGAAAAGGAGGCCCTTTTTATGCATTTACTGCTTCTTAATTGCCTTCAGATCAAAATAATTTTTACTTCAAAGAGGCCTATTTTGGGGTGATATTCTGGTCTCCATCAGTATATTTCAGTTTACATATTGGAATACAATAAAGTCAAAACTAAATTAAAGCAAAAAGGTACTTTTCTACTGAGATTAGCTCCAATCTAAAGGTTCAATAGTTTGAATTCTTAAAAGGAATTGTCTTGCATCATTTGTGTACACAGAATCTCCAGAAATTGGGAATATAGAAAGCCCTTTTTTTGTAAAAAAAAAAAAAAAAAAAAAAAGTAACATTTATTGAGTGCTTTACATGTATCCATTTATTTCATAATTATATGATATCAGGTATGATTATAGGTTCTTTGGATGGCCAGACTTAGCACAGTGACCCTCGGACAAAAGGCAGAACTTTGTCACAGCTTCAAACTAGAGAAGGCTGCCATGCAAGTCACACAGCAGTTTGTACCTGGGACTGAGCCAGCCAGCAGAGCCGAAAGGACAGTTTTTATGGCCAACAGAGTGATGTCAGCTAGGTTTTGTGTCTTTCTAGGGATTGGGTATTTTGAATAACTCCATGGGCCCAAAGAGCAGGCCATCCCTGGGTGTTAGTATCCGGGAGTCTCTGGCAGTCGGATACTGGATACTGTAACCCAGGGGTGTTAGAGCCTAACAAGGGAAGTAACTGGGGTAGGGGCTTAGCAAACTACCTGGAAGAGGAATGGAGAATTTCTAGCTCTGACTCCAAAACTGGATCAAGAGAGCACTTGTGAAATGTTATGTTACGTGGATATTGTCAAATCACTTTAGTTCTCTGAACTCACAAAATGCCTATGAGGTAGGTACTAACATTATAATTCCCATTATATAGAGGAGAAAACAAAGGCAAAGAGATAAATATACCTGCAAACTGAATGAAGTTAGTGGCAAAGTTAAGATTTGAAATCATATGATTTGGTTCTTGAAGCCACACTGACCAAAATAAGGGAGACAAGGAGGGATGTAAAAATAAGTGAGGTCCTAAACCATCAAATCCTGTGTCAAAAGGCGGTGTTGCATGGAAAGCAATAACAAATAGAAAGGCAAACTCATTCTCTTAAGAGCATCAGAATTTCTCCATCTGAAGCTAGTGAAGCAATTTGGATGAAAGGAAGACCGGGAGACCAGTCTTGGAGATTACAGAGCAATCTTTCTGCTTTTACTTAGTTTACTGTTTATTTGGAAAGGCTTAGTGGAGTCTCTTTTTTATTTTTTTATTTTTTTTTAGTTTTATTATACTTTTCAAGAGGGAGGAGGGGCAGAGAGAACGGCAGTGAGAGCGTCTTAAGCAGACTCCACATTCAGCACAGAGCCCGACACAGAGCTTCATCTCATGACCCTAAGATCATGACCTGAGCTGATATCAAGAGTGGGACGGTTAACTGACTGAGCCACTCAGGCGCCCCAAGTCTCTTTGTTAGAGTGTGGGGCACTTCAAGTTCATTCCCCTGGTGGAGCCATTGCATTCCCATCATCCATGCTGTTGGATAGTCCACCTACGTTGGGGTTCAATTCCATGCAACCCAGGTATCCCACTATTTTGGGCTACCCTGGGGGAAAACAAAATTCATTTAAGAGTTGCCTTTGATTTCGAGTTATTTAAGGAGAGTACACCCACATAAAACACACATAAAAAAGAAAATAAGGGCCAAAATTAGTGCTATAAATAAGTACAACAATAATTTAAGGCAGGAAAAAGTGAACACAGATCAAAGCAACTTCGGGATAAAGCTCATTCTACCCTCTTTGCACCTCGTACAACTCGTACCTGTGTGGCACTTAGTATTATTCTGTCTGGCATTGTAGTAATCTGTGTACTTACCCAAATCCCACTGCCAGGTAGTAAGTTCTTCTTCCGGGGCAGTAGCTACAAACCTTCTCACTGAGCAGTATCTAGCACAGTGACTCATTTTTTACTAAGCCCTCCAAAGTGCTTGTTGAACAGAGCCAATTTGGGCCTAGAGCTGAGCCTTAAATGACAGCTTGGTTTGGAAAGGAAGGGTAGAAAGGAATAAGCTAGGAGAACAAGCTCATCAAAAATGGAAAGAAAGGGCAAGATGTTTCAGATCTGTTGTAGACCAGAAGAGGGTTCACCCAGGAGAAACGAAATGAGAAAGAAAGGCATAGATAGAGTCATATCGTGATTTGAACTTTCTTATATAGGCTGTTGGCTTTCAACAGCACAGGCTAGGGGGAATTTGAATCTTTTGGGAAGTTTTTAAAATCCCAGCCCAGAGAAGATCAGACTGATAAGGGGCATTAAGCGACCATGAGCATTTTGAAAATGCTTCCTAGATGATTTATACCTTCAACTGTTGCTTTTGGCGTTGAAGAGGCTTTGAAAAAAAGTGTAACAACAACTACAAAAATAACATGACTTAAACTGTTAATATGTTCATTCAAAGTGAAAAAGCTTGATCGAATATATACTTTAGGGCAGGTGCTTGGCTGGCTCAGTTGGTAGAGCGTGCATCTCTTAATCTCAGGGTTGTGAGTTCAAGCCCCACGTTGGGTGCGGGCTTGAAAACAACAACAACAAAGCCAGCAAACATGCCTATGTTTCAAAGTATACAATAGCCAATTTAAAACTCCTGATTCTACTTACAGTCTATTTAGAAGATTTGTTCAGTCGGGACACCGTCAAATATCTTCACTTTTTTATATAAAATGAAATTTCCTGTGGATATTTTAAAACAAAAATAAAATTTTTAGATGACAAAACTACTATGTTCTTGTCATAAAAAATTTTGGGAAATACGGACATGGGGAAAAATCACCTCAAATCCTGCAACACAGAAGCGTGCATTACAACACACTCTTGTAATTCTTTCCTTTGCTTAGCCGGCTTCCCCTTCTCCACCCCATTTAAAATTTGTATCCATTTGAATATGTAACAACTTATGCATGCAGTGAGACAAATTCAGGTTTGGTACAATTGTCAATTAAGTCCCATCCTTCTTCCAGCCACATTCCCATTTCATTAACCTTGCAGAAGCATGTCCCTTATATTAAACTATTTAGTTTTGGGGCTCTGCTCATGGTATCATGGTGGGGCTTGACCATAGGATGCATTTTATCTCAGCAAGGTCAATGCAATTTGGTCCTCCCTGCAGTTTATACTTAGTGGAAGCCATGCAAACAAGGAAAGTATTCTCTTCCCCACTGCACAGCCCCTGCTGTCATCTGGCACAATGATCTAATGGCCCCAAGTCTCACAAACTCCTTGACATTTGTCTTTTCTGCCTCTGCCTAAAGCCCCTTTCTCTTGAGAGCTCAAATCAAGTTAACAAGGCAGGCAAGTTATGGCGAGACATCATGCTTTTCTCTCCCTCCCTTCTTCCTTTTCCCCACCCGTTCTGCTTTTCCCCAAGAGCCCACACACAAACCTAGTTGTCCAGTATCCTTCTTCAGTACAAACCACCTCAGGTAGGTGACTACATATGGGCTCATGCATGCATCAGACACATTCAAACATGAATTCTAGTTTAGCTCAGCCAAAGATCCCACACTACCAAAGCTTAGTTAATAACATCATTCCCTAGAAGATAAACAGTAAGAGGATGGGCTCTGGGACTGTTAATAGATTGCCCCTGAGTCATTTGCTCTTCAGAGCCAATTTTAATTTTTATTTATTTATTTTTTTTTAATTTTTTTTTTAACGTTTATTTATTTTTTGGGGACAGAGAGAGACAGAGCATGAACAGGGGAGGGGCAGAGAGAGAGGGAGACACAGAATCAGAAACAGGCTCCAGGCTCTGAGCCATCAGCCCAGAGCCCGACGCGGGGCTCGAACTCACGGACTGCGAGATCCTGACCTGGCTGAAGTCGGACGCTTAACCGACTGCGCCACCCAGGCGCCCCTGGAGCCAATTTTTAAAAGCATGACTCATTATTCAAGAGGAGTTATAAGGATGTAGAAAATCATTGCTCAATTTATTTGGCAATGAAAATGGCCATTATGGTTTTTATGCAACGTTGCTTCTGTTAGGTAATTTTTGTTGACCTAGCGTTCCAACCAAGTTGCTTGGTAGCAAGTGCTGACCAGAAAAGCATCGACTTGTGCTTTAAATGGTTATCAACCACAGCAAGGAAGTAATCTGCCCTGTGCTATGAAGTATGCAGCTTGAGAAATGCACCTTGTGTCACAGGACAAGAAGAGGAAGCAGAAAGAAAACACAGTCTTGGCAAAGGAAGCGCTGAGGCCACCCTGTCCCTAGCTTGTGGAGCCCAGCTGAGAACACCGCGAACCTGATCCCTGAATTTGGGGTCTTGAATTACCAAACTGAGTGAAAGATCCCCCTCTCAATTTTTACATTATGTCTTCCCCATTCTTCTGGCCTGAATTTTGACGTGTCAGTCAGTCGAAGACTATCAAAGTAATTTTTTCAAAAATGATTCCGAGAAGTTTTATTTTCTGAGTCGAAAATAGTCAACTCTATCAGTCGAAGACTATCAAAGTAATTTTTTCAAAAATGATTCCGAGAAGTTCTATTTTCTGAGTCCTTTAATATCTGTTACCTTAATACATGAACTAAAATTAACCCAGTATAAAATTTCATGACCACAACCTTTCCTCTCAAAAAGTATGTATGTAGAATGATTCTCCCGTGGCAAAGTTAATCTGATGTTTCATGTTTTGTAGGTAACATTTCCCACACACAACCCCCCACTGGCAAGATCACAGTTTTGTTTGGTTTTGTTTTTGCTTTGGGACCAATTCAGAACTCTTTTCTTAGAAGTGGTATGCAATTACCCGTAAGGGGAGAACCACCTTTGTTGAGAGAAAGCTTTGATGAGCCTGAAATGTGTTCTAGCCTCCAGGGCAGTAAGACTGATGGATTGAGGCTTGAGAGAATCAGTTTCAAGGGAAGGATCTGCTGGCTGCCGAGAGAGGGCAGGGCAGGGGTGCCCAGAGTTTAGGTATTGGTGGTAGCGTGGAAAAGGGGATTCTGAAGATGTAAACCAATTAGGAAGTGTTTGAGCGAGAGAGAGAGAGAGAGAGAGAGAGAGAGAGAGAGAGAACAGCCCCAAATTAGAGTCACTTGTGCTAAGCCCCACATGGGTAAACCATGACTTAATGTCTAACATAACAGCACTTTCTACCTCTCCAGAGATGGTGATTTTTAACCAGTCAACCTGGAATTACCTGATCAATACCAGTGAGGTAGTCTCCACTTCTGCTCCCCTTAGGAGGGGGACCTTTCCTGAAACTGTACTCTATGCAGGAAGAATTTCCTTTTCCACCCCCTTTCTGCCTTTAAAAACCTTTCCTTTTCTACAGCTCAGTGGAGGTCTTTTCTATTTGCTAGATGGGGTGTTGCTCGATTCATGAATTGTTGAATAAAGCCAATTTGATCTTTAAATGTACTCAGTTGAATTTTTATGATTTAACAGAAGCCAATGAACAGCAGACAGTTTCTCAACAGAGAGAGTATTCAAATTTCCTTTGACACCACTCCCTCAGGACTCCCTTCTCAGCCTACAGTTGTCTGGAAAATTAATATGCACAATGTACACTCCATTTCCTGTGTCCAGGAGAGGCACATCTAGTTTACGCAACGAGGCTAAAATAGGATCTTTTCCTAGTAACATTTTCTGGAGTTTTGACCCGGGTTAACAGTGTTGACTTCTAGACAGTTTGCAAGAATTAACTGCCTAAAAGTTTCTTCTTACTGTCTTTGTTTTAAAACATCAGGAGCAGCCATCCTTATCAAATATTTATCAAGTATTTTTCATTTATTCATTGTTATGTACCATTCAGGTTTAAGTCCTTTCTTATAACCTGAAAGAAAAGCAGGGACATTCAGCACCGAAATATTTCACATCTATAGTCAAGGTTAAGCCCCACTAAGGAAAGGTTTAATTTGCAGTTGTTTTTATTTGGCATTTGTACTTCTGTCCATAGAATGAAGAGGTGATGCTAAATTATTAACAGTAGAGAAAAAAATAGAGGAAGCCAGTGGTAGGTACTCCAGAATGTAGCCACTGAATTTCGGCAAGAGCTAGAAAAAGAGATTTAGAACATTTTGAAAAAAAAGGGCTGTCTGGCACCAGATTACATCCTTAAACAATGCAGAAAATCCTCTGTACCCTAAAAGTATTTGGGAGTGACTTTTTCAGCCTCTTTGGAGGGACAGATGGGGATAAAGATGCCTATTGGTAGGGTAAAAAGTTCGTGTGTGTCAGCTGTAGGAAAAAGAGTAATCACAAACTACTGTGTCAGTATTCAACTTGTACAGAAACTTCTTTCTTTTTTTTTTTTTTCCAACGTTTATTTATTTTTGGGACAGAGAGAGACAGAGCATGAACGGGGGAGGGGCAGAGAGAGAGGGAGACACAGAATCGGAAACAGGCTCCAGGCTCTGAGCCATCAGCCCAGAGCCTGACGCGGGCTCGAACTCACGGACCGCGAGATCGTGACCTGGCTGAAGTCGGACGCTTAACCGACTGCGCCACCCAGGCGCCCCCAGAAACTTCTTTCTTAAGTGCTACATCTCTGGCTGCAGTAAACCATTGCTGATACACCTCTCACCTGTATGCCATGACCCTAAAGCCAAGACATGCTGATTACCATACAATCATTGACCAAGGGCAGCCCCTCTTTTGTGTGTGCAACTTGCAAGACACGTGCAGCCTGGAAAGTATAATGGGTTGCAGCTTATAGAAAGGGCAGGTCAGTGAGTAGCAGAAAGGACAGGCACACATCACAGTACTGGGTGGGAAGTAGTCAAAACTAGCTCCACAAGCATCAAACCCAAGTCCAAGATTTCTGAGGCATGTCCATCCTTTCTTCGGTTCTGTAGCAATCTCAGCTCTATCTTCTGACACCTATAGGCCAAATGATAAGTTTAACTACCAAAACGGCCTACACACAATAATGGAGGGAAAGAATAGAAAAGACGAGAAGAGTTAGTTACAGAAATAAACATACAGAATAGTTGGATAGCAGTCTAAGACATTACCCTACACATTTGTCTTCTGAGAAACTGTTTGATCTTGTAAAGCTTCCTTCACTCTATTTATTCCAAGAGTCCTAGGCTCATTGCTCAAGGGAGGAAAAATGAAAATACTGAACGATCAAAGCGTAAAATTTGTGTTTTTTTTGAGGTCTTGAGTAGACAAAGACCGTAGTCTTCAAAGCTGTAACCTTTCTTCTGGGAGAGGAAAATATTTTAAAATATTCAAAACCTTGGTTTGGAACCTGGAAAGACATAGATTTAAATAAAAGGGCATAAAGCATATTCAAGAACAATAAATTGGGGGGCACCTGGGTGGCTAAGTTGGTTAAGCGTCTGACTTCGGCTCAGGTCATGATCTTGCGGTTTATCAGTTTGAGCCCCAGGTCAGGCTCTGTGCTGACAGCTCGGAGCCTGAAGTCTGCTTCGGATTCTGTGTCTCCCTCTCTCTCTCTCTGTCCCTCCCCCACTCATGCTCTGTCTCTCTCTCTCTGTCTCAAAAATAAAATAAAATTTAAAAAATACATTAAAAAGATAAATTGGAATAAGAATTATAATAATGTTGAATTAGTTTTATCCAGAGAAGTAAAAAGCTTGAAGAGTTGATAAGAGAAATGTGTAGTGGGTTGATGCAAAGGCCAGTACCACCCTTCCTTTGGGGGGGTGAGTCACCTACTTGCGGGGTGGGGCTGCGTGTGGAAATATTTGGTAACAGAAACCCAAGATAGGTCTCGAATTACCAGAGGAAAGTATGTTTAAAATTTCCAGAGCATAGTTCATGAACTTGCAAAACTTAGGATGAAGTTGTGTGCCCCTCACGGCACCTGATTTGTAGAGTAGCAGCAACTGGGGGAAGTGTCTGGGGAGATGTACCCCCCAGATAGGCTCACTAATCGACACACACTAGAGTATCTTTGAGTCCCTACTGCCACACCCCAGAGATCAGACACACTTGAGAATGAGCCAAAGGACCCAGTAGAATCCAAATCTGGATGGAGAGGTTGCCGAATAGTATCAGAAACAGCTAGCTGCCCACAAAAAAATCATGTTTCCCTACTGGGGGGTGATGTTCCAGCTACAAACTGCTGCATTTCCCAGCCTCTCTGGCATATAGGTATGGCGATATGTCTAGAGACTGTCAGTGGAATACGAGCAAAAGTGATTAAAAAGCAGGGCTACACTATACTCTTTCCCCTTCTTCTGGTTGGAAGAAAAGACTCCAAGGTCCTAGGGTGATTATCTCTGCCTCTAGTTTGACAACCATAATGAGTTCACAAGACGTGCCTAGAATATATTAAATTTTCACAGGAAATAGTAGTATCAGTAGATCACACCATAATGAACTGAAGAGTGTATTTGGGATATTATTGATTTTTGAAGAAAGCATACCACTGTCCCAGGACACTGAGAAAACTACTATTATTAAGTTGTTTAGCACTAACCACTAAATAAAAGGAACTACTAGATATTTCTTTTGGTCTGCAGCCCCAAGAATATATTGCTGAGACCTGAAGGACACTATGAACCAACAAAGTTTGGGAGCCTCTGCCTCAGGGAATGTGGAACCACAAGATGAAAGGAAGCTGGGTTTCTAAATTTCTTTTTCCTTTTTCTTTTTTTTTTTTTTTTTTTGAGAGAGAGAGTGAGAGTGAGACCAGGGGGAGAGACAGAGGGAGAGAGAGAATCTTAGGCAGACTCCGCACTCAGCGCGGAGCCCGGCGCAGGACTCAATCCCATGACCGTGAGTGACATCATGACCTGAGCCGAAATCAAGAGTCGGGCGCTTAACTGACTGAACCACCCGGCACCTCTGGGTTTCTAAATTTCTAAATGAAAGGAAGCCACATACAAATTAAGAACTCCCACACTGAACTGGGATGTGAGCCACACATAAACTTCTGTTGTATTAACCCATTGAACTTTTGGAGTTTATTTGTCATAATAGCTAGCATTACCCTAACTAATACCCACAGAATGTGTAAGAATCTAGACTCAAAGCCAAGAACCACAGATAAAGGATCAGAAAAGATAAACCACATCTCGGTGGAGACCACTAAGCCCAGAGGGTGACTCACAGAGTAGATGCCTCTTATCCAATATCAGGTCAATATGTAAGGCGCCTGAAACTGAGATCAATGTCCAGGAAATGGGGAAGGATACAGAGAAGGCAAAGGATGGTAAGGACTTAGCCCAAATAAGACTGAATAACCCAAAATTTGACCTGTGAAAAGCTCTACTGTCAGTGGATAAGTGTTTGAAAGCTAAGTTAGTTATGAGAAGAAATAAATTTACATGTGTGCATTGCATTCTGGAACTGTACAATTTTGAAGCCATCATATATATGTTACAGCAAGGAAAGAAACACAGAGGTCACCATCTCTGTTTCTGTAACTGGTCACCCAGCTATAGACTGGGGCCAGTATCTCAGCTGGCTGGGGTTGTTTGCCTAGTGGGGTGAGGAGCCTTAGTCCCTGGTGGGGCTGCCTAGGTGAGGTGACAGCACATTCATTAATCATTTCAGTAGGAACTCCCCTGAGCTTCTTCTACTGCTCCCTCCTACTACTCTGTAGCTGCATTTCCATTTCATTGTCAGGCTCAACCACTCTAACCAACACAATAATCCCATTCGCATCCTTTTTATTTTTTTCCAGAGAAGCCCAGTGAAGACCAAGCAGTAATTTCAAATCCCAGCTCAATGAAACTTTTATTGTGTCTCTGGGTGGAAACATGCCTCCCTCTTGCTCACTGAAACTCCTAAACCAGTGGAGCCCAGATTCAGGAAAAAGTAGCACCAGGAATAAGGTAATGGCTGGTGAGACGCCCCAAACCACACATGTCTGCCAGAAAAGTGATAAAGACCTTTCATAGTCAACATCTTCTGTGGTCCTTCTCTTCTCAGTTAGGTGTGAGTTTGGCTGCTCATATCCCTCCCTGAGAAGTAACCCCCCTGCCCCGCCTCCAATTTAAAGAAGGTAAGATGTATCATCATCCAATCCGGTGATTCTCAACTGAGGGCAATTTTGCCCCTTAGGGGAGCATTTGGCAATTAGTCTGGAGTCACTGAGATCGTTACAACTTGGCGGGAGGGATGATACTGGCACTTAGTGGATACTGGCCAGGGGATACATAGGACAACCCCCAACAACAAAGAATTGTATGGCCCAAAATGTCACAGTGCTGAAGTTGAGAAACCCTGATTGAATTAATTTATTTACATAATTTGCTTCCCCCACTAGAGTGCAAGCTTTGTGAGAACAGAGATTTTGTCCACCTTGCTTATTGCTCTATGTCTGGAACATGGAAGTCAACAAATATTTGATGACTACCTAATAGATGAATGCGTGTCTCATAGCTCCCACCACGTATTTTTACATACACGATCACATCCAAATACTTGGCTCCTTGCATTGGAAGGATTAGTAAGATGAAAGAAGGTGGTAGAGGGTAGCATGACTCAAATATCTGGGGTGGCACAACTTCTTTGAATGTCCCACGTAGCTCTCTTCCCAACGTGGCGCAGCCAGAATCCTCATAATTTGCCTTCACTTTAATTTTCTAACTTGAAGAAAAATGTGCACTTTTTGCAATGTCCTCAGTTCCTTCATTCGTTAAGTGACATTATCATCCAGGTACTGTAATCGGTGCTGTCACCAAACAAAATGATGGCTTAGGACTTGTGTTCAACAATTTGCACAGAGATGTGGTGTAATTGTTCTACATCTATTCTAACAACTGTAAATGTATCTCCCTCTCTAAGAAAGCTGCTTCTTGTCCTCCCTTCCCATCTCCCCTTGACATCTCAGTTAAGCTTGCAAGAAAGACCAAGAGAAGAGAGTGGGGTACCTAGCACCTCCCCACCCCACTCTGTAGTGGCTTGTCCCGGTCCTGGGTTCCCACACTGTACCTTAACCATAGCTCTGTTACAGTACTAATGGCAAATTCCGAGCACCCGTTTATTTATAGGGCTTTGTCCCTTCTTGTCTGGTAGGACATGCTCTTGATTGTCTGCATATCCGGGGCACCTGGCACCTAAGATGGGCTCAACAAATGCTTATGGAAGAAATAAAATGCATTTTGCCTACTTCACAATGTCACCTAGGGCACCCTTTGCCAACTTCACAATGTCACCCAAGGCATAGTTTTGCCTACTTCACAATGTCAACTGACCCCCCCACCCCACCCCACCCCCCAGAAATGGGAACTTCGCGGGAACTCAGGGATAGATCTAGTTTCAGCCCCGTCTGAATCACATTCTAGTGGTGGCTCCAGCCAATGGAGAGAACGGCAAAGGAGCAAAAGTCCTGGGCTGCAGCAAATGGATCTAGGTTAAACAGCCGAGATGGAGGGGCACTGATCACTGAGGCATTAGGGGACCCGTGAAGACCACTGCAGAATGGCAAAGAAGCAGAGCTGCGTATAGGCAGGGGCATGCCTGTCACCATCGCCCAGGGTGCCTCATCCCAGCAGCTACAGACGAGTGGCTGAACCTGGCGACAGAGGCTAGCGGTGTTGATGTGAACTGGTTGGTTCAGACCTTGGGCCACAAAACTGCCCGACGAGCGCAGGGAAAGTGGCACGTACCCTCTCCAGATCGCATAAGCGCAGCTGGGGAACTTGCCCAGCCCAGCCCACAGGGTGCTAAAGGGTCAGAAAGGACCCGCCTTTCCCAGACTGGGCCCCGGCGGGGCGAAGGTTGTTCCCAAGGCCACGTGAGGCTTCCTCGCCCCTAAAAGCCCCAAACAGGCAGGGCTAATGGAAGAGGGAAGTTAGGGACGCCCCAACCTCGGAGACGCTGCGCCGTGCAGCCGGCCCTAGAGCCGCTCTCACCACAGCTGCCTCGTCCAACCGGGGGAGGTCGCGGCCGCCGAGCGATGGCCCGCCGCAGCCGGGACGGGCGCCCCGGGCTGTCCGCGCCGCCGACCCCGCCGCTGCTGCCGCTGCTGCTGCTGTTGGCCGCCGCGGTGTCGCCGAGCCTGGCAGGTGAGCCATGCGCGCCCTGGGGACCTGAGGCCCCGGGGAGGGAGAGTCCGGGGACAGGCGCCTGCGTGCCCCGCGCTGCGCCCGCCGCCGCTCCGTGCGCTCCCGCCCGCGCCCGCGCCCGGGCTCGGCCAAGTTGACTCCCAGCGGGTGTCTGGGTTCTGGGCGGACGCCGCGGGGCGGGGGGACGGGCCGGACCCGCTGCGGCCCGCCGCAGCTCCGGGATGGCCCCCAGAAGGGCACGGGGTGTGCTTCTGCGAACTTAAGAAGTGTTGGCCAGAATTCTTGGCCAATAAATCAGTTCGCTCCTGCGCGACACTTGGCTTGCTGAGCCTTTCTCTACTGGTCCTAAAAAAACCAGTATAAATAAATATATTTATAATAAATATAATAAACATATAATAAATTAATAAATTAATAAAATATAAATAAAATATAATAAATAAATAATAAATAAAATATTTAAATATAAATATATTTATAAATAAAATGTATTTATTCACATCTTAGAGGTCTGATTCCGGACTGCCAGTTTTGTTTCTCAACTGCCAATGACTTTGGTTTAAAATAACTGCAACCTGGTATTGTCAGCTTGTTATGTGCCAGGCGATGTGCTAAAGGGCTTTTCCTATTAATGCTTACCACAACCCTAAATAGGATTTGTTATCCTCATTCTACAGAACGTTTGAAATTGAGAGAAATTCAGTAGTCTGGGTTAAGATACGCAGCAAGTGAAGTCGTTGCTGAGTTGACAAATGGCATTTACTTAAATACAACCCCCTTTGTAAAACAGGTGTTATCCTTACAGATATTAACACCAATCTATACCCTTTGTGAAAAAAACAAAAACAAAACGAAACAAAAAAGCAAACAAGAACAAAAAAACTCCTGGATTTATCAGTTTTCTTCCCAATGGTTAAGACCAAGATTAACCATAGACACTTGAAAGACTTCAACAGTAATATTAAGGGAGGATTAAGTTTATTTCATAAGCCCTTTTCTGTGCTGAACTTGTGCAAGAGTAGGGTGGAGTTCGGGAGAGCAAACCCCTTCCCAAATGAGTGTACTGATTCTTATTACACCACCTTCCATCGACAAGCAACCACAGTTATCAGATTTCAAGCTCTTTGCTTTCACAACTTGCCCACTTACCACTCTTAAATCTTTTCAGTCTTTTAAACTGCCTGGGCCTCTGGGATCAGCAGCCATGCACCCCCAGACCCCTGACTCCTGATTTACCTGCACATTCTGTTCCTTGCCTGGGATATGGAGGTGGCGCTCATGCCACACTTTTAGCCCAGCTGCTCATTCAGACGTGCCTGGGACAGGCTAGAAAGTGCTCCAGAAACGGAAATGGCTTTTTGTGTCCAGAATGATGAGTGAAACCCTTCTAACTTTTCTGTTCCTCTGGAGTTTTTGGGTTTGTTTATTTATTTATTTTTACATTTATTTATTATTGAGAGACAGAGAAACACAGAGCGTGGTGAGCAGGGGAGGGTTAGAGAAAGGGGGAGACACAGAATCCGAGGCAGGCTCCACGCTCTGAGCTGTCAGCACAGGGCCCGACGCGGGGCTCGAACTCACAAACTGGGAGATCATAACCTGAGCCAAAGTCGGTCGCCTAACCAACTGAGCCACCCAGGCATCCCTGGGTTGTTTTAAATGTTCATTAGGTGGAGGGGACAGCCTGAGGAGTGAGGTAGAGATATTGTTTTTCTGAAGATGAGGCACTGTTTATTTAAGAAGTTATCACCTGACAAGAAACAGCTGCTTACACTGAGTTCTCCAAATAATCAGCTGATACCAGGCCAGTTTGGTCAGGAGTCAAGGCAAAGAGCGAGGAAGTTTCTTCGGCCAGTGATCCTGACAGCACTGTGCCTGGCAATCCGGAAAAGACTTCTTTTTTTTTTTTTTTTTCCAACGTTTTTTATTTATTTTTGGGACAGAGAGAGACAGAGCATGAACAGGGGAGGGGCAGAGAGAGAGGGAGACACAGAATCGGAAACAGGCTCCAGGCTCCGAGCCATCAGCCCAGAGCCCGACGCGGGGCTCTAACTCACGGACCGCGAGATCGTGACCTGGCTGAAGTCGGACGCTTAACCGACTGCGCCACCCAGGCGCCCCCAGAAAAGACTTCTTACCATGGTCTTGTGGAACAGCTGGTGATGCCCACACTGATTACTTAGAACAGACGTGATCTGTTTCCTTTGTTCCACCCATAGTAACCTGCTTTCCGGTGCAACTTTTCTGCTCTGTTTTACCCTTCTGCTAGACTGACAGCCTTTGCTACCTCTTGCTTGTCATGTTTTCTCTGAAGTGCCCTGCTCGGTACTCTGAATTTGACGAGTACCCAACAAACACTGAAGGGATTGCATTTTCATCTCCCTGGGATGATTTTGATAGCTACCAGTGTGCACCTATTAATCCAAAAGCATCCTTAATTTTTAAAGCTTACTTGGTAGCTTCATTCCTACAGAAACATTGGCAAACAATTGCACATTCATCCTTGCCTGTCTTTCAAACTGCTATACACTTAAGCCATTTAATAGCATTGCCTTTATCCTTCCAGATTGAAAAGCCCCATATTTGTTTTTAGGAATGTCTTACATAATTTTTCTAAGTGGTGTGTAGAGTGAAGTCACATCACTAGGGAAAGAGATGAGTTGGTTGCCGAGAACTTTTAAGTTGGCATGTGCTTTGGTAAAACTGGTTCCAAATCTGGCCCCTGGACTTGCAGGGCTAGATTCTGGAAATGCATTCTCTCCCGAGCTCTAGAGCTGATCAGATACAAAGAAGCTGATCCACCCGAGTCTCTTCACCAAAATACCAATAATTAAGTTTGAGCAGATTGCCCCAGCCACTTTCTTATAATCAAATTACACCAGATAGATAATATCAGGGCTTCTCAGGCTGAAGGCCTGATTGATTTGCTCCCCAGTAAGACTGAGGCTTCCGTTGGCCTAGACAACTCTTGCCTGGCACAGCTGGCCCTTGACTCTGGAACACTGCCTCTTCCACACTTCCATGACTCACCGGTGCCCACCGGAGGCCAACCCATTGCCTCTCTAGATGGGCTAATACCTTTATGTGTTGTGGGGGATTTGCTGTCTTGGGAGCTGTTCAGTCTCCTTAAGGTGCCTTGGTAGATCTTTGGTTGAGGCTATTCTCAGTTGATCCTTTAACTCTGAGGGCCTTCTTATTTCCAAATTCACTTGAGGTAGTTGCTCCATGTGTTCATTCTTTCTGTGGCAGTTCATTTTTGGAAGTGTAATATGAGAGAGGTAGCATGGAATTCTAGAAGCAGAAACCATGGAGCCAGACTGCCTGTGTTTCAGTCCTGGCTCCCATACTTACTGTGTGACCTTCAGCCAGTTATCTACTATCTCTGTACCTCAGTTTCCTCTTCTGTAACGTGGGTATTGTAGTGTCTGTGTCATAAGGTGGTTGTGGGAGACAGCGCCCCGAACCATGGGGGATGTATAACTGAGTGACCGTTACTATTGGCCATTGGAGTTTCCCTTCTCTGGAAAGTCATCATGGATCTTTTGATAAGACAACCAGGATTGCAGATGATAGTCTACGTGCTGTGAAGTAACAACTTGTTATAAAAGCAGGGTTTTTTTCCTTAATCATGGTCCAACGTTTCAGGGATTTGGAGTACACACCAGCATGTTAAGCAGGTGCTGCAGAAGTAAGCAGTGCCCTAGGTCTCTTTCCTGGGTTATAACTGATTGATTGAAATCACCTTGATTTTTCTAAATGCAATTTTATTCATCATGATTTAATCCTGAATCAAGAATTTCCCAACTCTTTTTGGTCTTTCTGAGCCTCGCTAAATCTTCCTACAGCTCATCCCCATTGTCGTGGGGTTTCAGACTCCAAAGAAGTCAATGTTCTTGGTAAACTTGAATATTGTCATGTGCTCTCCCTCTATCAGTTTGTTTATAAAAATGTGTACAAGATAAGTTCCAGAACAACTTCTGGGGAAAGTGCCCATTCGCCTTTATTATTAAAATTAGTTTCCTGGTCCTTCTGGAAATGTGAATCTGACAGCAAAGATCAAAGTCTTTCTCCAGAAGAAAATGTAAGAAGATCCTCCTTCAAGTCTTTAAATCAAGGTAGAATATTTTTTAAAAACTTTTCATAATAGGTAAGCTATGAATCATGTAAACTCCAGCTTGGAACCATGTCTGACGTACAAAACAGAAATTTTTGTTTCCACACTCTTTTACACATTATTTTTACTTTGTCACCTGTTATCTTTTAGGGTTTTTTGGGGGGTGGAGGAAAGATTCTAAATTATAAAGCATTAACTATTAAGATAGCAAAAGAGGTAGCAGCACCAAAAATGGAATGAATCTCAAAGGATTTATTTTGTTCAATTTTTTAAGTTTTTAAAATGCATTTGTGCTTCATCTTTTAAAAAAAAAATGGAGTGAGTTCCAGTTGCTCCTACAACTTATATTTCACAATCACTTGAAGATTGAACTTTACCTAGCCTCCTGGGGCGCCTGGATGGCTTAGTTCGTTAAACACCCAACTCGTGATTTTGGCTCAGGTCATGACCTCACAATTTGTGAGGTTGACCCCCACATCAGGCTCTGGGCTGACAGTGTGGAGCCTGCTTGGGAGTCTCTCTCTCTCTCTCTCTCTCTCTCTGCCCCTCCACTGCTCTCTCTCTCTCAAAATAAATGGATAAAATTTTTTTTAAAGGATGTAGTTAGAAAATTTATTACTGTTATGTTGATTCTTTGTACTACTGCAAAACAGGAACTTAATGCAGTAAAAGATGAAACTAAGAGAGGTAGTGAAATTATGAGGAAACTTTAAAACTTGAAACTCATCCGCGCAAACAGCAGGTATCACGTTACAGTCTTCCAGGGGGAAATTGTGAAAGTCTCTTGATTC